GCGGCGGCGGAGGTGGCTCGTGCTATAATTGTGGTGGGTTCGGACACATGGCGAGAGATTGCACGGTCAGGAGACCGACCGGTGCTTGTTACGAGTGCGGCGAGACTGGTCACTTGGCCCGTGACTGTGATCGGAGAGGAAGCGGCGGTGGCGGCGGAGGAGGAGGCGGTGGCAAGTGCTTTAACTGCGGAAAGGAGGGTCATTTCGCAAGGGAATGCTCTGTTGCTTAATGAAGAACAAAGTTTGAAAGAAGAGTAACATTAGTGTATTCCTCTTCCTTTCACCTCTATCTATGAATCTTTTGTTGATGGGAATGAATTTGCCTGGTCCTTTTTTGGTGGGTTTTATACAAAGTGATGCTCTTTTTTTGGTGACTTTTACATTATATATACAGTTGGAGTGTTTCCGGGTAATGGTTCTGCTTATGCTTCTTGCAATTTTTGGCCTTTATAATGACTGATCTTGATTTCCTATATCCACTTGCTTTGTTTACTGTGAGAAAGTTTGGATATTTATCTCTTTTGCAATTCAATGGTGTGACGTTGTCTACTTGGATGATTATAGAAGCTGTGGCTATATGTGCAGTTGCTAGTTGCATTTGTGTTTTTTTTCTGAACTCTGGTCTCTCAATGGTGTGATCTTCTGCTTTGGAGTGTGGACTCTGTTCTTTACGGCCATAGAAAATGGGCCTCAGCCATTGTTACGGATGCAATCCATTGCCACACCCTCATTCTGGTGACAGCCAAGTTCAGTTCTTGATGTTCCTTTGATGGAGGAGATCTTGTGTTGGAACGGGTTCTTGTTTATAGAATTTGAACTGGTTAGGCAATCTGTGGCAAAAGATGCCCATATTCTTGCGTTTAGTATTGAAGGGTTTAAGCTTTAAGGCTATATATATATATATATATATTATGCATACATATGTATGTGTAGTGTATATGTAGATGTATATATATAGTGTATATGTAGATGTACATTTGACTTGGTCTCATGCACAAGAAAAAGCCAAATTATTCCATTAATCCAATGGAATTACAGCAAAAGGTATGCTAATCTGAGTTATTAAAAAAAATATTATATAGAAAATCAGAAGGAAAAGGATATATATGCATAATTTGAATCAAGCATCTCTCGGTAAATAAAATGCATTATGTTATTATATCAATGTAAAATTAGAATTTGCTTAATTTCCGTTTAATATATCGTAGCATATACATTTGCTTTTTTTTTAATGGGCCAAATGAATGTGAATCTTTGCAGAAAAAATATTGTTAATACATAATTTACGCACACAGAATATATATATATATATATATACACATGGGCGGACCCAAGTTATTAGGAATGGGCCCCCCATTGATCTCATGTAAATTTTCTTTATAAAATTTATAAAATTTTAAATATAAATATTGAAATTAAATTGTGCCCTTTCTCAAATATTTTTCTCCATATATATATATATATGGTTTGAATTGATGAAATAATATTTCAAGAAAATGGGTAAAGGATGATGAAACTTTATCTACAAAAAATACTGCAGAAATTAGAGATCTATGGTCAGAAAATTTGAAGTGATATATTTTTTTTGTATAGTGGTATAATGGATAAATTATAAAAAAGTATTGAGAATAAATATATGATTAAAGTACTGATTTGTGCTTCAGATATTTTACTTGACAAGACAAATTGCCATAAATAATTGTTAAAAAAATTGCCTATAGAATATCCTAATCTTAATTTCTAAACAAAATCCAACGGCCGAAAATAGCCACCGGATCTTGCCGTTTGTTTTCTTGCAGCTGGAAATAAAAATAAATAAAAAAAACCCACAGAAAATAGCCAACTGACATTGAACCAAGACAGCAAGACAACGCGAGATTCAATTGAAGAAAACATTTTATTATTTATTTATTTATTTGCATTTATATGTTAAAAGCTCTGATCTTTCAACACACACGCGAAAAGGGTTTTTCGATTTCCGCATCATAATTCAAAAGATGGAAATTTCTTCGTTCAAAGGATTGTTCGTTCTCCTTTTTCTTCATCTTCTTCGTGTGAGCTCTCTCTCAGAAACAAGAGCAGTGACGATCGATGTGAGCCAAGCCAGGAATCTGCTTGATTCTTCTGATCATGTTTTTCTTGATGTCAGGTCGAATTCCATAACTGAATCTCTCTCTCTCTCTCTGTTTGGTTCTCGTGTCTGAAATCGTTTAACTGCGTTTCAGGACAGTTGAAGAGTACGAGGAAGGGCATGTTGCTGCAGATAAGATCTTCAATGTTCCCTACTGGTTTTACACTCCTGAAGGTTCGACCTTTCTTCCTCAGCATCTTAAAACAATAGCACATATATATACACAAACACACACACACACATATATATAGATATGAATCAATATGCAATTGTGTGATGAGTTGATCCGAAGTTAACGATCTCTGGGCTCAAATCTTCAGGCCGAGAAAAGAACCCAAACTTCTTGGAACATGTTTCATCTCTCTGTAACAAAACCGATCATATTGTAGTGGTAATAACACTAAAGCACTTTCGATTCATCGTCCCATTTGTTGTTTTCGATCTCTGATATGCTTTTAAAAAAAAAAATAGGGCTGTAAATCTGGAATCCGATCTTTGCATGCAACCAACGATCTTCTCGACGCTGTAAGTATCATAAACCAAGAATCTGGAAACAAAAAGAGAGAGATTGTCGATCTGGGTTTGTGTCGTTTTCTGTTTCTTGATTGGTTGTAGTGAATGATTAAATGGATTGACGAACAGGGTTTCGAGGTTGTAAGAAACATGGGAGGAGGTTTTGTTGAATGGGTGGAGAAAGGATTTCAAATTGAAGCCGAGCAGAACGATGAGCTTTGAACCAGTAGATCCAGGCCCAATACCAAGCCCAAGAACAGGCCCAATACGAAGCCCAATTCCAGGCCCAAATGAGTTCGACCTCGTACTTTTTTTTGTATAAAAAAATTGATGGGTCATTGACCCTTTACATTAATTACATGTTAGAAAATATGTGCACAATATAATTACTCATAATTAAGATTATACCAAGTCAAGAATCCAAATTGAGAAATATATTAAAAATAGAATTATAAATAATTAGAATTATAAAATCTTAATAATTTTTTAACCGTCGGAAACAGCGCGGAATTCTCCCGAGACGGACGGTTAAGGAAAATTAATTCTATTTGTTTTTAAAAAATAACCGGTTTAGAGCTTAAACCAAGGCACATGACCGGGTTTAGACCGGTCCACGCTCTTTCTACGCGCAACTTCCACGTCTTCCCACCATTTTCAGATACTTGGCTCCTTCCCTTTTCCTCCCTCACTAAGTCTCTTCTTCGTATATACATATATTAGCCTTCATCATCTTCATCGGTTTCTGTGTTCGTATTCGGATCTCCGGCGAAAAATGGAATCCTCTGCAAACCCTAACCAAAAGCAACGATCTTCGCTTTACCCAGAAGTTGATTTCTCGAACCCAGAAGCTCCTCCCTCAAATCCTACTCCTTCCTCTTCTTCCAATCTATACCCTTCTCTCGATATGCACGATCTTGTCGACAATCTCTTCCCGGACCCGCCGGAGGATGACCCGGTCCGGTTTCACGCCTCCGCTCCCCCTCCGGCGACGGAGGAGGTGATCCTGCGGATTCCCGGCGCGATTCTCCACCTCATCGACCAGTCCTACAGTGTCCAGCTCGCTTGCGGCGATCTCACCGTTCTCAGTCTCGTGCAGGGCGGGAATGTCATCGCCGTTCTCGCTCGCGTCGCCGACGAGATCCAGTGGCCGTTGACCAAGGACGAAGCCGCAGTGAAGGTCGATGACTCTCATTACTTCTTCTCCCTCCGTCCCGCGAAGGAATGCGGTTCGGATTCCAGCGATGACGAGGCACCCAGCAAAAACCCTAAGTCGAAACCGGCGGAAGAGAACGCTATGCTGAACTACGGTTTGACGATTGCATCGAAGGGGCAAGAGCCGTTGCTTGAGCAACTTGATCGAATCTTGTCGGATTACAGCTGTTTTACAGTGCAACAAGTCTCGGAGAAGGCGAAGGAGAAAGGGGTAGAGGTGTTGGATGCGACAGTGGCGAAGGACACTTCACCGGCGGAGCTGAAGGGGGAGAGAAAGGAGATGATGGAGAAGCAATGTGCTGCGTATTGGACGACGTTGGCGCCAAATGTGGAGGATTACAGTGGGAAGACAGCGAAGCTGATCGCTGCTGGTTCTGGGCAACTGATAAAAGGGATTCTCTGGTGTGGGGATGTGACCATGGATCGGCTCAAATGGGGAAACGAGTTCATGAAGAGGAGGATGACGAAGGGCGAGAAGGAGAAGGAGATTAGCCCTGACACCTTGAAAAGGATCAAGAGGTATTGTTAATGTAACCTGCTTTAGCTCAATCGGATTTGGGTAGTCTTTGTATCTCTGTTTCGGATTCAAGAAGTGGTTTTTGCGGTGTTTCTGCATCTGGAACGAGAAATCTCTTTGTTCGGTTTCTAAATACAGAAGTGGATTTCCTTGAATGGGTGGACTTTGACTTCTATTTTAGGAAGATCTTTGGGTAAACTCTTGTCAGTATCTGCTTGAACTTGTACCAGACACTTTTAGTCAGCCTCTATCCTAAATATGGTATGGCATGGTTGATCTCCATTGATGAGTTTGGTATGCTTTGAAAACGTTTTCTGTTTCATAACCCCAGTGTTCGAACCATGGCAATGCTTTGGTCTTTGTTATGTATATGCAGGGTGAAGAGGATGACCAAGATGACTGAGAGAGTTGCCAATGGCGTGCTCTCTGGCGTTATAAAAGTTTCTGGTTTCTTCACGAATTCTGTGGCAAACACCAAAGCCGGGAAGAAATTCTTTAGCCTTCTTCCCGGAGAGATCGTTCTTGCAACACTTGATGGATTCAGTAAGTTGATTGATTATCCAATGGTTTTTCATTGTGTAGGAGGCGATGTGAATAATGTAAATGTAGCTGCATTGTGATACTTGGAACTCGGACTGAGCTATGCAACCTGGTAATGGTAATTTCTTGTTTGACAGACAAGATATGTGATGCTGTCGAAGTAGCAGGAAAGAATGTAATGGCAACCTCGTCAACTGTCACAACTGAACTCGTTGATCACAGGTAAACCGTTTCTTGTTCTTGTAATCACTTCCTACTTTGGGTAATCAATCATCCTCAAAGGATTTGGGGCTAGATACAACGTTCATTGTCTGGAACAAGGGTAATCCTCTGATGGGTTCATACTGTTTTGGCAAATATCATCAAACCTTTAACCATTTTCAAAGCTAATTCTCTCGTTTGGAAGCAGATGATGAACTCGAATAGAGGGTTTTCACCCATACGTGCAGGTATGGAGCAAAGGCGGCTCATGCCACGAACGAAGGGTTAGACGCTGCAGGGCATGCTATAGGAACAGCATGGGCTGCATTCAAGATCCGAAAGGCCATCAACCCGAAAAGTGTTCTTAAACCTTCAACGCTTGCAAAGTCAGCAGCAAAAGCTGCAGCTGAAGAGAAGTTCAAAAAGGGCTCCAAGTAGATTAAAAGAGTTCCAGACAATTTGAGTTTGGTTCTCATTTCGTGTTCTAAACTGCTGTTTTGTAATGTCTCTTGATACAATACAAGAACTAGTCATATTAGATTTGGTCTTTGTCCATAATTCTCTCGTTTGGAAGCAGATGATGAACTCGAATAGAGGGTTTTCACCCATACGTGCAGGTATGGAGCAAAGGCGGCTCATGCCACGAACGAAGGGTTAGACGCTGCAGGGCATGCTATAGGAACAGCATGGGCTGCATTCAAGATCCGAAAGGCCATCAACCCGAAAAGTGTTCTTAAACCTTCAACGCTTGCAAAGTCAGCAGCAAAAGCTGCAGCTGAAGAGAAGTTCAAAAAGGGCTCCAAGTAGATTAAAAGAGTTCCAGACAATTTGAGTTTGGTTCTCATTTCGTGTTCTAAACTGCTGTTTTGTAATGTCTCTTGATACAATACAAGAACTAGTCATATTAGATTTGGTCTTTGTCCATGTACTGTAATTAACTGTATGCTTAAAGAATTTTTTTTTTTTTTTTTTTTTTTTTTTTGGGCCTTGAAGGATTCTTACACATAGATTCAGATTTTCATATAGATTTGAAGGGGGGAACAAATTAAATCCTTTGAGATAAGGGGAGATTCCACTTGTGGAGGAAATCCCACCGTGGAATTGTATTCGGGGTGGGCTAACAGGCTGGTGTGGGGCCCATTGGCATCAAAGACCAAATCTGATACGACAAAACACATACGAACCCAAAAGGAGATTTAGAGTCCGACACGTGTCCTTCCTCCTCTCTTTTCCCTGTCGGTTTATTTCCCATTTATTTATAGGCCATGCTTAAAAAATAAAAATAGACATGTAACACACAAACACACACACGCATATATATATATTATAGTCCAAATAAATACATTATATTGAAACAATTGCTATGGGGAATGTAATCTTGAAAATGAAAGGATTTTCATTGTTATATATGGAGATGCTCAATGAATATATATATAAATACATATATATGAACAAGATATCAAAACTATTCAAAAAGAAATATAAATATTGTATAATTGTTTTGGTGGTGGGACTATATAGGATACAGATAGGCACACGCGGTCAATTTGTTTTTAACTGTTTAAAGTTTCTGAATAAGAAAGAAGGTTCGAACAGGAAACAGTATGGTGTTTTAGTTTTACTACATAAATAATTCTTTAAAATTAGATTTTGTTGTTTGTTTCTGATTTGGAAACTTTTTTTTTAATTTTGATATTACGAATATCATTATGAGTTACATCTAACCAATGTTCATTATGCACGTGTATAATATAATCAGAAATTGTAGGCATCTAAATTAGTTTATCTATATTTTGAATTTAAAAAGTGTTAGTTAATTTTCGAATATTGAAATGGTATGGCTTTAATGTTTTGGTTCATATAATTTAGACTATGAGTGATGATAACTTTTATTTTGAGTTTTGGCTTTAGTTTTTGTTTTTGGATTTTGATTTTTGATTTTTGGTTTTTAGTTTTCCAAATTTTTAGAAAAATTAAAATTATAAAATAATGATTATCATTTTTTTTAATTCTAAAAACTACGTCCATTCAACCCTTTAATTTCTAATATATATATATATATATATATATATATATATATGTGTGTGTGTGTGTGTGTGTGTAATATAAATATATGCACCCAACGCGGTAATGGAAACCTCAACGCCATGGATCGAATCATATACTCAATAAGTGTTGAAACCACCATCGAGTGTGAAGTGCTTCGTTTTCATTATCCTCTTATAGTTTAAACAAATTTAAATAAATATGAAAAAAATAAAAATCTTACGACATCTCCACTTTGATTTTTTTTTTCATTCGAAAACCTTTTTCTTATTATATGTTATTTTGTATTTTTAGTAGATTTATTTTAGTATTTATTCGTTTCATTGCCGTTACAATTAATAATATACCACAATTAGGAGAAAGTGACACACAAGATTAAAACATTATCGTACCTAATGATTTTCCTCGTACGGATCATAGGTAGAACTATTTTTCCAGGGCTTTATAAATTTCTATTCCTTAGTATCAATCACATAACTATTTGCATTACATTTAGAAAAAAAAAAATCAATTTTGGATGAGAAATTCAATCAAATAAGTTAATCCAAGAGTCAAATATATATTATTTCATAAATATTTTTAAATATTATCTTGTGCTAGGCTGCTATCTTTGATTATAAATTAGTAATTAATGACCATGGTTTATTTAGTAAGTATTGGAATTTAGTAATGAGGGTGATTAGGTAAGGACCATTAATTTAATTTAATATAAAAAGTTATTATGTAATAAAGTTTAACATAAGCACGCATATTAAGCCGAAACTTTACAAGGACTTCACTTGTGTTTGCATTGTGGTTTACTTACGTGGATTCTATAAACCATAAAAGAAAGTAATTATAATTTGTATTTATCAAATGCAAATATTTTTTTTTATCCTAGTTGACTAATATATTAACCATGAAAATTCTTACACCATAAATTGAAACTTTTAAGGGATAAACAAATCATTTGTAAAAAAAATCAATCAAATTCGAAATTCATTATACCTTCTATCCAAATTTTAGATATTTAGATTAGAATCCTTTCATATCTGTTTTTAATTTTGGTAATTTAGATGGTTCTCCAAACTTCGGACCAGAATACATCCACTCCGACTCCGTTTTTATATGTGAATTTAGTTATGGACATCAAAATTTTTGAAATTTAAATATTGATGGATATTTAAATCTATCAAGATATATAAATTTATCACTAATACCCTTAGTTTAATTAACAAAAAAATTCACTGTCGCGTGTGATAACTAATGTAATACGTTTTTCAAAATTCTTGCTTAAATTTTTTAATTTTTATCGATTTAAATCGAATACTTTATAAAAAAATATAAAAACTCGAAATTTGAGCATATATTATCCATAAATAATATTTAGATACTAGATATTGAAATATTTGAGTGGGTTGGTACCACCAACTTGGCATTCTCCACACAACAAAAAGGGATTAAAATTACTAAATGACCACCAAGAGGGGAGGGCTCATACAATGTTACAACAAAAAAAAAAATGTTCTTATTTTATAGTTTTCGCATGCTTTGTGACTTTGGAGGCTCAAAATCTTTCAAGATTCACACAAAATCATTACCTTTTCAATAAATTCTTCTAAAACCCTTTTTTTAGATTTCTTTTAGATTTTATATTCTTTTTCTGCTTAATAAAAAAAGAATTATCGGCATAATATATTTTTTGTACTTTTAGTTTTTTGTTTTTGAATTTTACTTTTTGTTATGTGTTTTTATAGTATTTATAAATCCAAAAAATAAATCTTTTGGTTTTTAATAAAATTTTTCACTAAAATAGTTTTCTAATTTTTTTGGAAAACTAAATTTACCGAAGAAGAAGTGGTGATATTGGAGGATTGTTTTAATTTATTATTAAAAAATAATTTTTATATTTGTTGTGGCCCTTTAGTTCTAACCTATAGTTTTAGAAAGAACATTACTTTTTTTAGAAAGTAAGTGGCTTTTTTTTTAACCACTCTGTAAGCCAATCCCAATTTTACTTTCATAAACAAATTAACTATTTTTATATTGATATTGTAATATAATATATTAAAACGATCAAGGTGCGAGTATAATTACAAACACATAATTAAAAACTATTTTTTTTCTGGAATAATAATAGTATAGGTTGGATGTCGGATTCACCAAGGTAAAACAACGTCCAAATCTATAGTAATTATAAGAATATAAATACGGTCTAATATTTATTAAACCGAATCAAAATAAGCTAAACCGGATTTACCAAACCAACCGCCAATGCACACCAAAAAAGATCAAATCTAAATTTCTCAATACTAACATTTTGGTTACAAATAGGTTCAATTTGTTCTACCCTAATTATCCACCGACCATGCTTTTAAGATTTGTTTCTTGATCTTCAAGTAACAAATATTCTTGTAACTTTTCATTTGAATTTTAGTCAAAACTAATGATCACTCTATTTTATGACAATTTAACCAAAAAAAAAAGAAAATAAATTTGATTATTCGTTAAGTTAAAGCCAAACCCAGAAAAAAAAACCCAAAGCTTGCGAGAGAGACAAGACAAAGTTAGGTCGTTTTAAAAAAAATGTAGAATAAATTAAAAAAAAAAAACTAAAAAATTCTGTGTCCGTACGGCCATTACCATCTACACCTGGCCTGGCCAGTGACCAAAGGGCCCTTACAGAACAATCTTCGAACAACTGCAGCCCAGATCTTTCTTTTTGTTTATTTCTTTTAAATTCTCTACCTTTGATCTAAAGATTTCATCTTTTTCCTTTTCTTTTTCCTTTATTTTATTCATGTTTCTTGGTTCTCTTTACATTTATGTCGAAACAGGATTGGGTTCTTGTATTTTCAGACCGTCTAATTTTCCCTGAAGAGTTCTTTGTGGATGAAGAATCACTACCCTTTTGAATAATTTTGAGAAGAGTGGCGATCTTTTCTTCGTGGGGAGAAGTTTTTTTTTTCTTAATGCTTTCGCTATTGATCAAAATAGTGGGGAGTGACACAAGAAGCAGTATTTTACTAATCACTACTCATACTTCCACCAAGAAATCCCCGACACAGAGAGACACATACAGAAACATACAGGAAGAACCTCAAGAGCCACATATAGATCGTTTGATGTGTTTTGTTTTTGTAACAGCGTGTCTGAAATGGAGAACAGGCGAGAGAGTAACTTCTCTGTTAGCATTGAGAGTTCTCCAGGCTGTAACTCGCCAATGGGTTCGAAGAACATCAGAAAGGTGTTCGATAAAATGACTGAGTGGGTTACCCCTTGGAGAAGTAACTCGGCGGCGCCAAGAGGACGGAGGATTTTCCGTGGAGATGTCGAGCAAGATGAGTTTCAGTACGCAAGCAGCCACTGTTTGTCGTCTTACTACAGTGTCTTTGTCGTTCGCCTTGCAATTATGGTTAGATGTGATCGTTTGATTTATAACCTTCTTGAGCCTTGAAAGTTTCGGTTTTCTCATCAGCATATGAAAGTCTGATAATCTGAAAACGAATCCATTTAGAAAGATGAAACCTTTTTCTAATTTTAGCTGGTGGGTTTGTGCAGGTCATGCTAGCGATTCTGATTGGGCTCTTGACCGTCCTCACATGGCATTTTACGAGGATATATACCAAGCAATCGCTTAAGACGTTAGCATATGGCCTCCGTTACGAGCTCCTGCAGCGTCCAATCCTACGGATGTGGAACGTTTTGAACACAACCTCTGAACTCACAACTGCTCAGGTGAAGCTATCTGAGTATGTTATCAAAAAATACAACAAACCAACAACGCAAGCAGAGCTTGTTGAGGTTGATTTCTAAAACCCTTTTCGGTACTGTGGCTGATCTGCTAATTGTATTTTGGGATGTAATTGGTTTGATTTGAGATATTTTACTTTGTTGTTCATTTTGTCAGATGTATCAAGCAATGAAGGATGTTACATGGGCTCTGTTCGCGAGTGCAAAAGCTCTAAATGCCATAACCATAAATTATAGAAACGGGTTTGTCCAAGCTTTTCACAGAGACGTGAGTAACGGTACATTTTACATCTTCTCCGATCTGACAAACTATTCAATCAGTGCAACTGAGCATGAAGATATAAGCATGTCACTCCTGAGAGGATGGAGCAACCAGACGATACACGGGAATTTGTCTGCCACTTGGTATCAGCAAAGGCTGGACCCTGTAACTGGAGAGAAAATTGGAAAACCTCTTCAGGTCCCTCCTGATGATCTAATCAACATCGCTGGAATCTCACAAGTACCAGATGGTATAGCTTCCTGGCATGTGACTGTGAGCAAGTACATGGATTCTCCCCTTCTCTCGGCGGCTTTGCCCGTGTTTGACGCTGCAAATGAGAGTATTGTGGCTGTTGTGGGTGTGACAACAGCACTTTATAGCGTTGGTCAGTTGATGAGAGAGCTTGTTGAAGTCCATGGTGGGCATATTTACTTGACCTCTCAAGAAGGTTACTTGCTTGCTACTTCAACCAATGGTCCTCTTTTAACGAATACATCAAAGGGGCCGGAGTTAATGAGAGCAGTTGATTCAGAAGAGTGGGTTATAAGGACGGGAGCTCAGTGGTTGGAGAGAACTTATGGGAATAACATTCCTCATGTGGTTCATGCTGAGAATGCAAAGCTTGGGGATCAGCAATATTACATAGATTCGTTCTTTCTAAATCTGAAGAGACTTCCTATTGTAAGTTTAATTTGCTTAGACATCAAACTTTTTCCCTTTTCCACAGTCTAGGATAAATTTGTATGTCCAGAATCCGATTATCTTTTTTCGGTTTTTGGTATGTTTCATGAGTGATGATTATGCCGCACATTGTTGCAGGTTGGCGTTGTCATCATTCCAAGAAAATTTATTATGGGAAAAGTAGATGAAAGAGCATTCAAAACTTTGGTCATTTTGATATCTGCTTCTGTTTGCATCCTCTTCATTGGATGTATTTGCATTCTGATCCTTACAAATGGAGTTTCAAAAGAAATGAAACTAAGAGCAGAACTGATAAGGCAATTGGATGCAAGAAGAAGAGCTGAAGCCTCAAGCAACTACAAAAGCCAGTTTCTTGCGAACATGAGGTTAGTCCATTACTCCCGAAAAGCTTCTGCTACACCAAATTTCACTTAATAATTTAACCATTTTAATATGAGCATTGGAATGTATTTTGGGCTTTTGTATATTCCAGTCATGAGTTGAGGACACCTATGGCTGCTGTGATTGGATTGCTAGATATTCTTATATCGGATAATTGCCTTACGAATGAGCAATATGCAACAGTAACTCAGATCAGAAAATGCTCTACTGCCTTGCTTCGGCTTCTCAACAACATATTGGACCTGAGCAAGGTGAGAATTAGAAGAAAAAACTTCAAAGCGTGTTTTGATACAATGAAAAAACTTCTAAGTTTTAGCCTTTTTTCCATGGTGACGTTCACTGAGCATTACAGCGGGAGTTCTGAATGAACATTTAGTCGGTTTGATATATTCCTTTGTCCTGAAACTAATATTTACCTGTTACTTCGCCGCTTAGGTTGAATCGGGAAAACTTGTGCTGGAAGAGGCTGAGTTTGATTTGGGACGAGAACTCGAAGGACTTGTTGACATGTTCTCAGTGCAGTGTATCAATCACAATGTTGAGATTGTATTGGACCTGTCAGGTATGACGCTTGATATTTCCTGTGACAAACAGTTTTTATCTTGACAAAAACACCGTTGAATTTTGTCTTTCTCAGATGATATGCCAACATTTGTTAGAGGAGACTCTGCAAGAGTTGTCCAAATCTTTGCAAATCTTATAAGCAATTCTATCAAGTTTACAACAAGTAAGTTCTGACATTTTCTTTGCTTTCTCCATGATGGAGATACACTATTACTAAACTTCAAGGTTGTCTACTTTACAGCGGGTCATATTGTTCTTCGTGGATGGTGTGAGAATGTGAACACTCTGAACGATGACAAGAACTTAGCGATTGACCGGAGAAAATCACTGGCTCCAATTAAGACAAAATTGGTGCAACCCAGAAATCACATGCCGAAGTTATATAAGAATGAGAACAAAACAGTTCTTTTGTTTGAGGTTGATGACACCGGATGTGGTATGAACTTGAGTTTCTCAATTCTTCTTTCTTTTTTCTCATCTATTTCATCTGGGATGCTCTTCCTGAGCTTCTGAAACCATTTTCTTTTGAGACTTTCTTCAGGAATAGATCCAAGTAAATGGGAATCTGTATTTGAGAGCTTTGAGCAAGCCGATCCCTCCACCACACGGACGTAAGCTATGCTCATTCCCTATCCATAATTCAAAACTGGATAAAAGTTCAACTTCTACATTCTAGAAACGATGAAGCACAAGTTGATTACAGTAACAAAAGTAGTGTAAGTTGAATCTATCCCCTGACAGGTCTGTATATCTTTCAGGCATGGAGGAACCGGGCTTGGACTATGTATTGTAAGAAACTTGGTGAGTAAAGCTACTTGAACCTGGAATTGAGGAACAATTTACCAAAGATTTGATGAACTTTGGAAGCAATAGTCTTCTGAATCCTGTTTCTTATGTTTGTATCACAGGTAAACAAGATGGGTGGAGAAATCAAGGTAGTAAAGAAGAATGGCCCAGGAACTCTCATGAGGCTTTGCTTGAGTCTCCAAACACCTGATACTACAGAGCAGAACTGCCAACCAGATTTCTTCAGATATGATCTGGTGGTCCGTACACTCGGTTGCCTGAACTAAACAGAAAGAATTTTTTTTACACTTCACTGAAAATTCGGTTTAAGTTTTGGTGTTTAAATGCAAACAGGTTTTGCTTGCCCTGTATGGTAGTGTGGGAAGAACTATCACGTCAAGCTGGTTGAGGAAATTGGGCATAGCAACAGTAGAAGCATCGGACTGGAACGAGCTGACCCAGATCATTCGAGACCTCTTCCAGACGGAAATCCAATACAAAGGCTTCGATTCCCAACACACGATTGCTGATTCACTAAAGGTAGAGCTTCAGAAGATACAGGAAATCAAGAACCCTGCATTTGTCGTTGTGGTGGAAATTGGGATTCTTGACCTCAGCACAGATATATGGAGGGAACAGCTCAACTACCTAGATAGATTCTCCAGCAAAGCAAAGTTTGCTTGGATGCTGAAGCACGATACCTCCAATGCGGTTAAAATGGAGCTCAGGCGAAAAGGGCATGTTTTGATGGTTAACAGACCTTTGTACAAAGCCAAAATGATTCAGATTCTGGAGGCCGTAATAAAAGACAGGAAAAAAGAAGCCCAGAAGAGAAGTTCTAGTAGTGGGTCGAGAAATGCAGGACATGGAGATGATGAATCCCACGAGTGCTTAGAGATCGATTCAACGCAGTATGACACTTGCAGTTCTGATGATTCCTCTGATGTGTCCAGAGAGAAACAAAGTGATAAGCTTTCTTCAAAGCGCCAGCCTCTCAAGAACGGCCTAGTCGACACTGCTCATCCATTTTCAGACAGCAATAATGACTCAACATCTGGAAGTTTGATTGAGTCTGAGCAAGCAAAGACCCAAAAACCAACGGAATATTCTGAAAGGGAGCATCCAGGAGATCGAGAAAACCTTTTGTGTTCGGGAAATGCTCCGAGTGAACAGAATCAGAAATCTCTTGAGGGCATAAGGATCTTGCTAGCAGAAGATACTCCTGTGCTTCAAAGGGTGGCCACCATAATGCTGGAAAAAATGGGGGCTATTGTAACTGTGGTCGGGGATGGTCAACAAGCAGTTGATGCACTCAACTACAGGCTTAACCCACAAGATCAGACACAAGAATCAGAAGATGACGCAGACAACATAAATCAGCAGAACTGGTTTCAGAACCCTGCTCCTTATGACTTGATCCTTATGGACTGCCAGGTAAAAATGGTTCCTTTATGGACTACCGGTTTCCAACAAAGAAAGATCCTAACTTTGTTTATATTCTGAACATTTTCTGAGAAAAGAATCTGTCTGAATTCATTCCCAGATGCCGAAAATGGATGGATATGAGGCAACGAAAGCGATAAGGAGAGCAGAGACAGGAACAAGAATGCATGTTCCTATAGTTGCACTCACAGCTCACGCGATGTCATCTGATGAAGCCAAGTGCTTGGAGGTGGGAATGGATGCTTATCTGACAAAACCTATTGACCGGAAGCTCATGGTCTCCACCATTCTCTCTCTTACCAAACCATCACCGTCACCATCACCATCACCATCTTGACTTGCATGCCATTCCACTTGAGCTAACAAGAGAGCTTCTTAGCTTCGGGAACTTGGAACTGTATATATGCATATATATATATATATACACGTGTGTGTGTGTATACATAGTGGTTTGTTAATGTTGAACACTTTAACAGGGAGGTTCTTGGAGAAGAAGATCTTGTTTTTTTTTCCTCTTTACTAAAACAAGGTGCTTTTTGATAAGTATACATATACATATACATATACATATACATATTATATATATATTATATGTATATGTATACACACATTGTGGTTTGTCAGTGTTGAACATTTGGTTCTTGGAGGAAGATCTTGTTTCTTTCCCTCTTTACTTAAACAAATGCTTGTTGATAAGCAGCAATATATGAAATGATTCAGGATAACACAAGTACTTGTGCACACACACCCATATATATATATATATATATATATATATATATAGATTAATGAAGAAATTATATTGTTTTTGCCAAAAATAAGATGGGATTATAGTTGTGACATGTGAAATTGCCAAATAGATGACAAAAAAATATTAAAGTGAACAATTTATGCACTATTAAAATTGTAGGAAATGAAGAAAAATAAAACTAAAAGAAGAAACAGAAACAAAAAAGTAAAATTAATAATAATAGGAGGAAAAGAAAAAAAAAACAAATAACAGAAGAGGTAAAAAGAAAATATAGCAAAACAATCGGGAGGTTCATGGCGGAGATTGTTCCTTTTACGAACGCTTCAATGGCATAAATTTCCGCCCCTTACCTTTTCTCCTTCTCTCTCCCTCTGTTACTCTTGATCCAAATCATCCTCACGTTCATTCATATTGGTTTATTTTCGTGTTGTCATTTCTCGCATTTCTGAGTTCATCTAGGGTTTTAGGGTTTTCCTTGTTTGCTCGTAACGGAGATGGCTAATTGAAGGTGCGGAAGGTGGAGGAAGAAGAGAGTTTATTTCTAGGGCTTTTTTGGGTTTCCTCAGGTGTAGATCTGAGGCTGTTTTTTTTTGTTAATTGCTTGAGATTTCCCCCCATTTTTGTTGTGCGATTGCTTGGTTCGGGTTCTGGGGAGGAATTCGAAGAAGGGAAGCGAGAGGCAATGAGCGCTTCAAGGTTCATAAAGTGCGTGACTGTCGGTGATGGAGCTGTCGGTAAAACCTGCTTGCTGATTTCTTACACCAGCAACACGTTTCCTACGGTAATGTGCTTTCATTCTTCTTCTCATTTATTTCAGATTTTCAAGTTTTGCTCCTTGTTCTTCGATTGGATTCTTTCTGGGTTTTGGTAGTTTCAGTCTCAAATCATAATTATTTCTTGGAAATGTACAGTAGTAAGCTTTCTGGTCGGAAGCAGAGGCTCGTTGAATCTGAAAAATGCAGTCTTTGTGAAGATGACAATGCGTTTTCTTTCTTATTTTGGTGTTCGGTCTTTGTATAAGTTGCTTTGTTTTATGTTTCTCTCTATTAAGCATCTATGAGCCAAGAGAAAAGTGTCGGACTTTTTTCCATATATGATTTAGTCGTTGATTAGTGGATGATATTATGACTGATGGGAAACTACAGAAATTCAATCTTACTAATCTTGTGATTGTCTATGGAACAGGATTACGTCCCGACCGTTTTTGATAATTTTAGTGCAAATGTGGTTGTCAATGGAAGCACAGTGAACCTAGGATTGTGGGATACTGCAGGTACTGATCGAACTCAACTCATACTTGGGAGCTTAAGATACGATGGCTATGGCTTTATTTTATTCAAGCGTCTGAGATTTGTTTTTGTTTCTGTGTAACAGGGCAGGAAGATTATAACAGATTAAGACCATTGAGTTATCGCGGTGCTGATGTTTTCATTTTAGCGTTCTCTCTCATTAGCAAGGCTAGTTATGAGAATGTGTCCAAGAAGGTGAGTTCCCGAGAACTGTCCACTAGCTTCTGTTAGCTAAGACTTGTTGTGAATCAGGAAGGTAAAGAAGTGGTTTTATTTTTGTTTGTGATTTCGCTGCTTGATGTTCTGTTTGACAGTGGATCCCCGAGTTGAAGCACTATGCACCTGGTGTCCCGATAGTTCTGGTTGGCACTAAACTTGGTATGGTTTTCTCTCGCGTTGACTCTGGTGTATCTATGTGTTTATGGCTGCTGGCATGTAGCAAGTACTAGACTTTTGGAAAAGCCGTATGTAAGATCTCCAAGCATTATGTGTCCTGTCATGACAGAGTTGATCTTTTTTTGAACATCTGCCATTTGATGCTTGGTCTCGAGATTGACCATTTTGGTTTGTTTGTATTGTTGTGTTGTGTATGACAGATCTTCGGGATGATAAACAGTTCTTTATCGACCACCCTGGTGCTGTGCCTATTACCGCTGCTCAGGTAGGCATGCATACTTTGGGACAAATTTCTTCTCTGTTTTCGGTATTTTAATATGATAATTGATATCCCCTTAACCATTCCCCGATCTGGATGAAAGGGAGAGGAGCTGAGGAAACTAATCGGAGCGCCTTCTTACATTGAGTGCAGTTCCAAAACACAAGAGGTAAGGGGACAAAATTCGGAATTGATTTATCCTGTTTGCCCTGTTGCTTTGGGATTGTCTTTTCATTGCGTGAAAATTTCGTCTGGAACGCAGAATGTGAAGGCAGTGTTCGATGCAGCGATCAGAGTTGTGCTTCAGCCTCCCAACCAGAAGAAAAAGAAGAGCAAAGGACAAAAGGGCTGCTCCATTTTGTAATCTCCTCTCCTTTTTTCCCTTTACTCCTCGGCTTGTGGCCGTGAAGCTCGGCCAGTTCTAACTTTCCTTGTGATGACACTCTTTAGTTCTTGGAAAAGAATTGTGGTTTAAAGCCTCTTCTGTTCTGTTACTGATAGAGCAGTTCATATCTATATATAGCTGAGCTTAGAGTTTATATATATATATAATCAGAGCATTAGTCTCTCTGTATAACCTTTCACTGCTTTTTTTCAAGTACTAAATAAACTTGTTTGAATGTTATGGCCATAATCCTTGAACCTAGCCACTTGGACATCTTTTTCTCTGAGAAAACAAAATTTGTTGATTGAGTTCCAAGTGTGTTGGAATGTGTGTCGAAATAACACAATCATATAATTAATTTAATATCACAAAAATGAACAAAGGCGATTAAAGAAGTACAGCAAGTTTATAAATAGGTGATTTTGGTTATTAACCGAATAATCGAACTGAATTGAATAAGATATAATCGCATCAAAACCGACATAAGAACCAGTGATTTTGATTTATAAACGAAATAACCACCTCTACTTGTATAATTCACTTGCGTAAGCTTAATGACAGTAACAAAAAATGTGCTAAACGAAAGGAAACAACCGTCATATTCTTTCTTTAAGATCTCTATAATACCTTAAAAGAGCATAGAACAAAAAACATAAAGATGCATATACTTTACTACAAAATGGTCCTGAAATTGACCTCTTCGACAGCAAATTTAGCAATTCTCCATCACAAATTGGAGATGCAAATCAAAACATCAAACACCAAATCAAACCCATGAACGAGGGAAGAGATCCAGAATCCAAAATGGTGAACCTCTCAACTCAAAAGTGCAACCAATCAAACACTCATATTCAGACAGGTGTAGCAAAAAATATACACACAACTGACTCAGTTCAAAGACTTCACTTAATCTGACAACCATTTGCCTGAAACCCTTTGAAACCCTAATTGCAGACTTTCGAGGTTCCCATGTAACCTAGACCCTGAAATGGCACTGCTACAAAACTTGCATGATTCTTACTATTACTATATAGCCTGTTCTATTTAACAACTGCTGACAATGATTATGATGATTATTATTATTATGATGATGATGACGACGACAAACCAACTATGTACAGAGGGGAGGAAAACTGGATGAGGCGACTGCAGTATGGAGCAATCAGCGGAGCTTGTTTTGAGCAACGGCTTGACATAACTCATCCTCATAGAAGAGCACCCGGTTTGAAGCCAGTGATTTGCACAAAGGCTTTTGGATAACCGAAGGAACCATGCATCTCGAAGAAAATGTCTGGTCTTGAAAGAGAACGGCAGCAATTTGCTTCATCTCCGCGATTTTGATCCGAGAAGGTGGTCGAGGACCATGCCTTGGTGCTTTAGGGGTGTGTAGCCTCGGCACAAATGCAGGGTTTCCATCTGCTTTGCTGCATATATTCATAGAATCAGATGATCAGCTTAACAAGTAGTTAAGCAAATTTCAAAAAGTAATAAACCATGCAAAACATGAACCTAACAAATGGCCAATGATCTATTGGCCTTGGGGTCGTTGCACTCAACATTTCCTGTCTTGAACGGTCTGGTGTTGTATAATTGAAATAGTAATGCTTCGCAAGCAAAACCTGTCCAAAAGGGAACTCAAACAAATTCAACTTTAGCCCAATCAGACAATTAAGAGAGGCAGTTTCTAGTACACAAACATGCCAAAGAGGGGATTAAAAGAATATGAAAGAGAAAAAAGAATGGCATACAGCTCTTCTTATCCTTTGAGAAACGTGAAAAACAGCCTTAAGTTGGTCATGGTGCAGATGGCAGAGAAGTTTAACCTGGAACAAATTGCAGATCAGGATCAGCATACAGTACAATAAGGCTTCAAAGGTGCTTATCATGGAAAAGAGAACTGTCCTGTAAAAGAGAAGGATCGAACAGTACCAGTAAATCCATGGGCAGAGACTCGAGCCTCGACTCTGAATTGCATGGATCAGCTTGCGGTGTCTTTGGTGTCCTTACCAAAGTGCTCTGCATAACAATATCCACGGGTGATAACATTAGTGGGCTTTTGTTAAAAGCCTTATTCTCTATTTCCATGTCATGGATCTTCGTTGTCCTCACCAAATTACTCTGCTTAACAATGTCGACAGGCGACAACATTAGCGAACTTTGAGAAGCTTTATGTTCCACTGCAATATCATTCTCAGTTTTTTGTGTATCTATGACAGCCACACGTTTTTTCCCGAGATCAGTGCAAGGCTTGGCAGCTGACGCTTTACTGTAACGTAATTGAACGAGAGCCCCTGGCTTTAAATACTTGTTGCCCGACCTTCTCAATCTCTTTTTCCGCTTTGATGTTCTTGAATCATCACCCTTGGGCAATACCTTCCCCATATATCTTGGTCCTGTTTCCCTGTATATGATAGCAAAAATTCTTCTCCCTTCAGTAGTGACAAGTTCTACTTTGAATTCCTTTGCTTAGGCGGACAACCGAGATACAATGGCTAAAGCAACCATAAATGGAGCCCTGAAACAGTCAGTTCCAAATATTTAAAACACCATCCCAAAAGTAGCAATCATAAGCCCAAGCAACATCGGATGCTCAACACTATCGAGCCACAAAATGTGAAGCGGAAATCATCCTGTATTCACAACAAACATATATTCAATCGATATTACTCGCAGAACAAATCCCTACTCCAACATTAGAGAACTAGAAAAACTCGAAATCGATAAAAACATGCAGAACCAAAGCGAATGATAAAAATGAGCAGGAACACCGACTGAACGATACTTCATCGATTTCAAACCCAAACAAAAATGGAAAGCCACAAGCGAATCGAAACCTTCCAAACCATAGAAATCTAAACCAAAACAGAAGAGTAAATACCTAGATAAAAAAAGAGAATACTTCAAAACCTCGGAGATTGAACGAAAGAACTCACCTGGGAGAGAGAAAGACAGGGAGAACGAAAACGGAGGGAGATGGCGATAGCGAGGGAACAAATTTGGGAAGAGGGAAAGGAGAGGCCCTAGGGTTTTGTTCTTTTAATTTTTTTGTTTTTCATTCGCTCTGTATTTGAATTTCTTAAACAAGCCCGCCAAAAAAATTTCTAATTTTCTAGTCAGAAAACCCACTACCTGTACACGTGGTGAAACACTATTGGTGAATACGATCAATGGGACCCACTTTTACCTAGCTAACCGTGCCATATCTGACAGCGGAGATTGCGCGCGGTTAGATAGAGATCATAGATTCGTTTCCTTTTACGGATATGCTTATTTTTTTCAATTTTAAAAATAGGCGAAATTCTAAGAGAATATTTATAGTACGAGCATCCTATGGAGAAAAAATATCGTTATTTCTCATATGACGAAAGAGCCCTTAGCCATCTGCCCTTATCTCACATACGATAAAGGGTAATTTGGACTTCTTACTTATTGAGAGCTGGGATGCAGGTCCACGCATAGGTCACTTATCATGATTAAATTAAATACTGCGAAAGGACACAATAAACCCTATCACGCGCCATAAATTACGAGTGAATGCCCTCGTGAGGTACAATCGATTTCGACCGACAATAGAATAATATAATATAATATATAGTTTTACGAATCGATCCAAAATTTGAAAGATTTGAATGTGTAGCAGCCTGCCTATCTAAAATTTGAATATTTTATTTGGAGATAATTATTTTTTATTCTATAGTATTTAAGTTTGGGTAGGGGCAATTCGGTCAGTTGACTATTCGTATGTAATGTTTTGGGCTCATTTTCTCTTGGTGGGCTTCTTAATTAATAATGTAGCCCATTGAGCTTGTGGCATTGGTTTCTCGACATTCATGACATCAAATAATGTAAAATTAATTTCGTAAATTTTCTGGTTTTTTTTTTTTAGATCCTAAATTCATTTTATATCCTCGGTTCATTTCCTAAACCAAAGTTAGGTATAGATTCTTTATTTTATTCATTTTTTATTTTTTAAAAATAATGTTTGGTAGACAAAATATTCGAAACATCGTATTCGAGTTCGATATGTAATTCAAATTGATATTGAACAGGATTAAAAAGAAGAAAAAAAAAATCTTTGAATTAACTTTCGAAACCCATATCGATTTAGATTCGAATTTCATTAACAAGATATAATATTATAAATAAAAAAAAAAGGATACTTGGACATGTGAAATTGTGAACGATGTTTAGTATTGTAGATTTAAAAATTAAGGGCCCAATTGAAAACTTTTTAATTTACAGAAATACCCCAAAAGTACGCGCGCTATCTTCCCCGGCAGCCGTTAAACGACGGCTGGTTCTTCGGCCCCTCTCAGTTCTCGATCCTCAACTCCATTTCCCCCCTGAAATCCTCCGGAATAATGAAAACCCCTTGAATTCGAACTAAGATCGAATCTGAAACTCGTTGAGATTAAGCTCAGAACTGCTGAAAGACGCGGTGACTTGGAATCGACGAGATACTCCCCGAGATTCTCGCGTGCCCTCTTTCCGATCAATCCTTTTGAGGTTTGATTTCCTTTCGCACAATCTCTCGATTCGATCGATCGTCTCTATTGCTGATTTCCTTGTCAGGGCTCGCGAGAAGACGAATTCGCTTGTCAACGACGCCATCGGTGTCTCTTTCCCCGTAAGTTTCTGTTGCATGGCGGATTGTACTTTGTTTCTGTCTTAAATTCGTTTGGATCCAAAATGTTACCTATTTCCTTAAATACTTTGGTATTTACGATCCATGCTCAGCCAAGCTAATAATTAGGGTTTTGGTTTGGGCGTTTAGTTTCATATGAAACAGGGTGAATTTAGGTTTCTCTCTACCTGCTACGTCAGATAGTTGAAAATTTTCCAAATCTGCTTCGTGAGTGGCTTGTCCAAAACTGTCGTCTTCAAGATTTGTCCGATCTTTCATGTTCAATCCATCTGGAGAATGAATGGTCTTTTAAGGAATTCTCATTGGGGGGATTATATATCTGAATCTGATTCTTTTCAGTTTTTTCTTTGTTCCAACTACAAAGTTAAAATTGAATCTATCTGTAAGAATTTGATTTGGGATGAACCGCAAGTGTCATGCTTCGTCTCACCATTTTTCTTCTTGATAAATTGGTGTCATTGCTTTAGCTTTCTATTTCATTAATGGAATCTGTTTCTGGTCATGTGAACATGATAGAATCCATGTTTGGTTCAAAGGATGGTAAGATAATCGAAGAGGAAGGCGGTGCATCAAAAGTTTGATGAATTTGCTTCGCAACCTAAAACTGGACATTTCGATCAGAACAAGGCAGCATTCTCTTTCTTGTGCTTTGGTCCATTTTGGAGTTTCACTAAATTGTTGTTGAAGCAAAAGCAATAGAGAGCCAAACCCAGATGATAGGAAGTGAATGGAGGTAGGGTAAGATGGGATATATATATATATATATATATATATATAACAGAATCACACATATATATACTAAACCATTGCTGTGCTTAGTATCTAAGAAACCACAGGTTTGAGAGCTGAAACAGTAGAGTATATAAACACAGTGATCGCTTGATTTGAGGACGCCTTTTAGTGTTTAGTATTCTCGTGGACCGGAACAGTAGTTGAAAGCAATATTCAAAGCAGTATTGGATATTGACTTGATGGGTGCAGAGTGTACCGTACAACGTGAAGATAGAATTTGGCCAGGGGAGGAGGAACAATGTATAATGGAGGCATAGAGTCCCACTTTTGGTAAATATTCCTCTCAACTTGATGATACTATATTTACAAGATATGAGGCCGGGATGTTCTCTTCTCTTTTGTTTCTGGTTGCTAATAAATCAAATAAGGAATAAAACCCGGAAACAGATCAGGAAGCATCATCATTTAGGCTTATCCCCATTAGGTGATTGGGAGTGGATTGGAGAAAAGAAGGAACAATTCACTTGACAAAACAATGCCTATAAAGTAGCATATATGGTGATCAGCAGTACAAGTAAAAGAATAGTGCAGTGGTATTGGTATTCACCTATCATATTCTCCCTTGACCAAATTGAAGTGGGGTTGACTGGTTTCCCATTGGGTTGGGGGTTTGATCAGAATGGCAACTTGTTGGCTACAATGGAATCCAGACAAAAGAAGAAAGTTGTGATAATAGAGCTGAAAGAAAGTAAATGCCTCAGCCTCATTAATAGGGTCCGGTCTTGAGGTACGTTTCAGCCCCGTTCTTTGGTATTTTCTCAATTCACTAGTTCACACACATCATTGCACCAAACATGGTTTTGTCTCTTGGTTAGTAATGTTGCTTGCTTAGATATCTTCGGCAACCAAAATAGCTCAACGGTAGCCAACACTTTTCTTTAATCATTTATTTTAACCAAGATCTGTCTGCATTAGAAGATGGTAGGAAGTTGCAAGTTACTTAATAGAGAGCAGAGGACTGAGCTTGAAATTAGTACAGAAGTCAAAGTCTTTGGATAGAAAAAAACGACAAAAGACAGGAAAGAGTCGGGGACAGGTAAGGAGTTCCTGTTCCTTAGGAAATGGAAATGACTCTTTCTGTTTCTAGATATTTTTACATCTTCCTTTCCCCGTGATATCTTGGGTTTAACTGCAAGTTTTTGCTTAGTCATAGCTAAAAAAAGGTACAAGCTTTTTTTCTTTTTCCTGATTCATGAGAAACACACTTCATCACCAAAACCATAAACAGAAAGGGACTTGAAGATTTTTCTTTTTCTTTTTTTCCCCCCTTCAAAACGGAGCTGTTGAAGTCCGTTGAAGTGTGTTCTTTTTGGGAAGCTGGGATGCTGCCGCCATCCTCTGCTGCATTTCCATGAATACAAACACAAAAATGCGCATAAAAATCAGAATCTTTCAGTCAAAATATTACGAGTTCAGAATTGCTGTCTCTGATGAAACTGCTTAAGTTTGGAGTTAGACTCCAGATTTGTCTTATCTTCTTGACATGAGGAAAGAGTAATACTATCAACTTGTTGCTTGTTTACCTGTTCCTGTTCTCCCTTGAGTCTTGCATTTTCTGCCTGCAGGTTAGCAATTTCAAGCTCCAGCTCATTTGTATAAGCCTGCAGAATCACAAATACCAAAACCCACAAGTGCAAGAGCTTTCTCAGATGCCAAAAACACCTCATTCTTTCCTCATCTCAAATGGTACAGAGAAAGGAGTTGCGAAGAGAGGAGAGGGACATTCCTGTTTCCTAGCCCGAGAACGAGCCGCAGACTCTCTGTTCTTGATCATACGCTTATGGCGTCTGTCACTTGAACTATCAGAATCTTGGCCTCTTTTCTTCCCATAAAAACCAAACTGACCAGCTGAAGCCAGAGCCTCAAAAGGGGTGGTGAGAGAGGAAATATTTGAGGAGAGGTGAGGGTGGTTCTGCAGATGAGGATCTGGGTTATCAAGAAACTCGAATCCAGCGCTCGAATTCAAGCTGAGAACAGTTGCAGGAGGTGGGAGAGGAGAGCCGTACAGAGCAGTGACAGTGCTAGTGTCGCCATTGCTGGAAGAACCCATGCTCAGTCTGGTCGGCGGTGGGTCATGGCTCTGTGGTCTGTTGAGAAAGTCTTGGAGAATAGAGTTTGGGTGTTGGGTCCTGACCCTGGGATCATGGGGGATCTGGCCGTGATGGTGGATGGAAGCAAGGTTTATGTCTTTCCAGACCTCTTCCATGGCGGGTTGTGGCTTGAATTGGGCTTGAGAGATGGGTAAAGAAGACGAGGATGTTGATGATGATGGTGAAGAAGTGGAAGAAGAAACTCTGTCGAGACTCTTGTTCTTGTTGCTATCGGACAACAACACTCTATGGCTGTTCTGTTCCTCTGCTGATGACAACATTGGAAAACAGAACAACAGAAGCAGCTGAGTTCTTTCTTGAGTGTCAACTGTCTTATACAACACAGAGAGAGAGGGAGAGAGAGAGAGTCTGATGTTGTGGTAATGTAATAGGCGAGAGAGAACAGAACATAACAGAGCTTCTTCCCTTTCATTGGTCATTTCTGGTATGATGGTTGGGTCCAGTGGAAGTGACACAGAGAGAGAGAGAGAGAGAGAGAGTAAATAAAAAAAATCCATAATTATTCCACCACTAATATTCACTTAAACAGGATTAGTCGTGTGCATCAAACTTGTTTAAGATAAGATTATCAAATACAAAATAAACCTCTTTTATCAGAATCCTTGTTTTATAGAGAAAAAAAAAAGTATATTCTCATCTTTCTTTTTTTTTTTGAAGTTAGTGGTTAAAAAACTCTTGAAAAATAAAGCTTTTTTATTTGGGTATTGTCTTCTTCTTCTTCCACTTTAGTATCAAAAGAGCCTTTGGATCCTCCCCTCCAAAGACTCTCTTTCAAAGTCTTGATTTACTTGCTTTGATTTTTATCCCATTTTTTTTATAAACAATTTAATGAAATCTAATATAAACTGATATACATAATAATCATTATTGTAGTTATATTGCTATTCAATATATATTTATTTTCTTTTATGTCAAAAATATCTTCTAGTAGTAAAAATGATACTGACCATGGTAAAAAAAAAAGTTAAAAACAATTGGCTATTGCACTCAATCACACTTTATTTTGTGCAAGGAAGTTGTAAACTAACATTATCACAAATTAATAAAATAAACATTTTATTCAAACATTTTATATTGTATTATATTGTTCGATTTTTATTTAAAAAATAAACAGGAATTTTTAAAAAATTCGATTTTTCGGAGTTTTTAAAATTCGGTTCGATTTCGAAAAATTCTGATTTTCTAAAATTAATAGCTTTCGGAAATTTTGGACTGCTTGTATCGGAAAAAAAATACCGTATTTTTTTATTCGGTTCAGTTCCGAAGAACCGAACCGAAACGTACACCCTTTTTTTTGCATACCAAAAATTATTAGTTACTTAATAAATTAAATTAAATTAATTGCCAACATGCCCTTTGACATACAGAGATTAAAATTAGTTCAGTACAACTTTCCTTTTCTACCTAGTTGCATTATTGGAACTTATATATACAAATTTTATAAAATTGCTTGTGAATATAAGAAAGACCGAATACTATTAAAATAAACAGAAACATTTTATTGTGAATATATATATATACAATTTTATAAAATATTAGGAGTTGTAAAATAAATATATACCTTTTTATATAAATATATCAATCGTTCAAATTTTTATATTGATATATAAAATTTTAAAATATTATCATATGTTTATCTTGATAATAGAAACATTAAATTAAATAATAGTTAAATATCGATAATTAATGAAAACTGAAATTTATCTAAGGATGATTTGATTAAAATTATTAGGTTGGAAGTGATAAAAAATATGATTAAATTCAAACATCGAATATTAATATTAATATATATCGTGATCACGTAATGTACAAAATAATTTTGAATTTGGATATGAATTTTAATTTTTCTATTTTAAAGTATAATACTTTAAACATTTAATAAAAATATACAAAATATTTATAATATTATTGAAAATTACCAAATTATTTTTCAATTTTCTTAAAAAATCATAAATTATTGTTTTTATAAAATACAGATTTTTTATGATTTGCTATTCAAAAAAAAATTATACTAATTCTGATTACAAATCCAATGTTTGTTTGAATTCGAATACTCTAAAATTTTCAATTATTAATCTTTAAGTATTTAGAATGATTTATATATTAAAAGTTTTATTATAAATTGATTATTTTAATATCGTTCTTATTTAGCTAAATTTGATAATATTTTACAAAATTGATATATTTATATAAAAAATTAAATAGTTGATATATTTATGTAAAAAACACAAAATTGATCTATTTTACATTTAAAAATTACAACTTCGTATATTTTGGCAGGAACCAAAAAAAAAGAGTCCCACTCTCCAACTTTATAAAGGAGGAAAAGTCCAATCGATGAACCTGCAAAAAGCAGAGACTGTAATGCGGAAATAAGAAAAAAAAATTACAAAATACAAATATTTTGTAAAATCATAAAAAAAAAAGCTTATAGTAAGTTCCAAACTATAATACCAATTTGGAAATTCATCTTCCAATATAATAATAATAATAATAACAATAATAATAATGATAATGATAATCCCGTCCTCGTACATGTTACAATTTCAACAAGTAAATGACAAAAAAAGAAAAAGAAGACAACCACGAAGAGCAAACCAATGATGACGATGGAGCATGTGAGGGTGGGGGTCGGAGTTTTGGTATTCGATTCGAGTTCGGATTAAAAATGGTTCGATTTGGTTTTTTTCGATTTTACAAAAATAAGTATTAATCGGTTATTATATTATATTTGGTTTGGTTCTGGTTTTATTAAAAAAAATTATTTTTTGAATTTTTTTAAAATTTGTTTCGATTTAATTCGATTTTGAAAAAAATACCATATTTTTTTGTCCGGTTTTTCAGAATCGAACCGAACCGAAATACTCACCCTATGTAAATGTACTCCTACTATACTAGTTTTGAAATTACAAGTTATTTTTATTACATTAGTATATATATACACACACTTTAGTATACCATATGATATTCGCCAATATCTATTCTTAACATGTTTTTTTTATGGACATGACTCCCTCCCTTGACATGAGCACAATCCCAATCCAATTCAATTAAATAAAAAAACATAAATTATATATATATATATATGTATATATCCACGTGTGTATGTAAATATCCACTTGCAAAGCAAACAAAACATGGACCGTGTGGGTGAATCCAAATAACCATTGGAACAAAAGCAAGAAGTGGGGATGAGAGTGAGAGAGTGACGTGTCAAAGTCGAGGGAGGATTGGACAGGTGTCAGCTCTGTATTGTTCTGTCCATAACTCTACAAACATAAAATATATTTTAATATATATATTATTAATTTATTATTTATTATCGTTTAATTCCACCAATGCTTCTTCTTAGGCTGGGCCCGTTGGGGGATTGGCTTAATTTTGTTGTCTAATATTTTCCTTCTTAAAATTTGACATTATATTATAAAGAAAAAAATGAATATACAGAAATAATAGATTTATACACTCTACAAATAATAATAATAAAATATATAGATAAATAGCAATAGAATCGAGCAAAAAAAAAACTCGAGATATAAAAAGGAGTCGTCATAACTTGGTCGTGGGATGTTCTTTTCTACATATGTCGATATTTTTTTTTTTGAAAAAAAAATTAATTAAATTAAAAGATTGTAAAAGAAAATAAAAATAGAGGAGGGACAACTGATGTGTGATGCTGACACATCGACCTAATAAATTTATTATTATTATTATTACTCGAAAGTCTGATTTTGTGATAAATAAAACTATTCTGAGTTTCGATTACACTTATAAACCAACGGATAATAATGAGAACGCACCCATCTGTTTGGACCGTCGATAGACCCGTCCGTACGATACGAATCTTGCGAGTTTCCGCTTAGACCGTACGAACACGTAGGTAGTCGTAATTATTAAAGTCATTAAAAAAACGTTTCAGCAAAAATAAATAAATAAATAAAATGGGAAAAAGGAGCATTAGTAAGGAGGGAGGGGAGAAGAAGGTGAATGATCCAAAAGAATGCTAGCCGTTGGATGATAGAAGTGGGAGTAATGTACTTTTATAGCAAAAAAAATAATCGGTAAATTTGATTTTTTATACATTATTATGTAAATTTACTTGAATAGAAATTCGTAAATTTTGGAAATTTTTACGAAAATCAGGTAGCAATAAGAATTTTTTTGGTGTAAAATTGATTCTTGTTTTTCGAAGTAATTTTCGTATTATAAAGTCAATTTCATTTGAGATTTGATTTTTATGCTATAATTATATGAAATGCTTGTTGAAATTAAATATTTTGATTGGTTATGCATCAAAAACAAAATCACGAAGGATGTATATTTTAAAAATATATTTCCTAGTATTTTTTTCTAGTTCATAGTAAGTTGGACGTATAAGGTGTTTCTTTTTTGTAAATTGTTTGTTCTGATTGGATCACAAAAATAGTAAGTGCGTGAAGTGCACGTGCCTGCATGCTTGTTTTAGTTCCATCTTATCAAAACAAATAAGGAAATTACGCGATTTAAAATAGAAAAACGTATCATCGCATAAAACTGCAAAAATAGGGTTCATGCCAATATTACCTTGCGGTAAAATGGAAAAGAGGGCATTGATTGGGGCTTTAACCACCCCATCTCGTGAGAAGTTTCACTTTCTGGGGACATTACTCACTCCAGTGATTATTTCATTACTTACAAGATAAAATATCCAATCATCAATTCATTCTATATATATATACATATATAGAAAAATTCGAGAGCATGGCCCATGAGTGAGTAAACCCACACCCACACATATACATATAAATATACATATATATATATATATATACATGTTTTCAGATTATCCTAAAAAACTCTATTAAAAAAAAGCATCACACATGATGAGAATGCCCATCAAGTGATCATGCACACAAAACTTATATATATATATATATATATATGTTTCATTTTACAATCAAAGCAACTCGTTATCCTAAAGAGCTACTAAGATTTGTATCATAAATGAGATTGCCCACAAAAATGTGTACATAAAGGTTGCATCTTTAAAAGAGAAGAGTTGGAAGCAGAACATTCCATGAACACCAGAGTGTTTCCACAATGACCATCCCTTTTATGCCATAAAGACTCCAACAGAGAGGGAATGGATCTGAAGGGAACAAAATCACAAGTCTCCGGACACAAAACCATATTATGACTCCAAGACAGCAACAAACATAATAATCCGAATGACGGGTATCGACCTATAGGCCGAATATCGCAGCCGTCCTCCCTAAGAAGCGAGCGAGCAAGCTCGCCAATGTCAAAATCTATTTCCGGCTTACACCCTCTTCTTCTGATCCCCTCCCTCTGGCAAATGAACCACTAAAAAGAAAAACTCGGCCGGAGGGGGAGAGAAGAGAAGAGGAGGGTAATGCAAACTGGTAAATCTCCATGAAACCAGACACGTCACCATGGCCACAAACACAACTATGGCCACTGACCCAGTGTGTAACAAAAGTGAAAAAAATAACGGTAAAAAGTCTCAACATCCCAAAAGAAGAAGAAAAAACCATATATATGTCCAGTTTCTCTATAGCTAGAATGATAAAAAAAAAGGTTTGATCTTTTTTTTTTCCTTCTGTTTTTCCTTTTTTTTCCTGTCTTTTTGGGGTTTTCTAGTGTTTCTTGAACTTTTTTTTTTTGGTTTTTTTTTTCTGGGTTCCCTTGTGCTATTGGTTTCCTGTATTGCACAAGACAAAACAATACATTCACGTACCATGTCAGACACCAAATGCTCCAACAAGATGTTCATTGTTTGCTTCTCTGGATGTCATCTCTCCTTCTCCCCAAGAGTTTTTCTTCTCAAAGATGAAAATGTGCAGCAGAAGCACATCTTTAGTTCAACTTTGATGGTGGAGAAGAGACAGCTGTGTCACTGCAGTTTTCTGCTGGATTGCCACCCAACAGATGTTGCTGGACGTTTGAATAGTCTGAGAGGGTTTTGCTTGTTTCCACATGATGACTGGATGAACCAATGTGCTCTGTTGAGTTCTGCTCGAGAGAAAGGCCTCGGACTTGTGCTGCCAGCGTATTCGCCCTTTCCCCGGACTGGGGACTTGAAACACCAGGGAAACGCATAGTAGCAGGCAGCAAAAATTTTTGCCAATTATGGCGCTTCCTTATTTTGTCACCACCCTAGAAAGGAAAAAACAGTTTCAACCACATATTACCTCAAATATCTCAGCAGATAAGGAGAAAAGCTTGATAACTTGACTGTTTAATTTCAACCCTTTTGCTGTCATTTACAAATTTTACTCGCTATAAATCATTTTATTTTAAAGACTCATGACAGATCAAGACGAGGCACCTGCACTTCAACAACAGGTGAACCTTGTAGAGCGTCCAAAATATGCTGGACATTATCAGTCAGCTCAGCAACCTGAAAAAGAAAAGGAAGCATGGCAGAGATAACTGAAACGAGAGCACAACACCAGAAATGTGAATCGAGTTCGAGAACCAAGTAACAAAACGCTAAATAATGTTAAAAAGCGAAAAGGAAATTGGTGGCATAGAACCAACTGAGCAACCAAATAAGAGTATATTATCCCATTTTATGGAAGGCAGGGACTGAAGGGGCTTTTATCATTGAACTTGTCAATAAACAAGGCAGCATTGGTTTCTGTAAGTAACAAGTGGTCCTTTTGTGTAAAATCTATTTTTATCATGTGGCTATTAGGTATATAAATGAAATTTCAAGGAAAATGAGATTCTAGTAGCTTGAATATATAACTACTCAGTATGCGAATATCATGCGATGTTCAAAGCAGACATAGCAAGTGTTAAACTTTGGCAAAAAAGAGTTCGTACCATGAAAATACTATGAAGACAGATTAATATTTTGCCATTAAAGACAAAAATGTTTATAGGAAAAAAAATATCACCTTTCTGAAACCTGCAACCAATTGGATCGGAACAAAACCCTGATCATCCATGAACTGGCGCAGGTATGTGTCTTTAATTAAATTCTCTTCACTGTAACAAAAGCAAATTTTGCAATCAGACTCCACCTTCTGATAGAGATGGAAGTAGTGGTAACGTTCCATTGAGAAAACAACAACACAAAATAAGATAACTGTAAAAATCTAATAAGGTATTACCTAAAATAAAAGTGTATTTGATTCTGTATTCTGGTATATAAAGGAGGGTCTTGAACTTGGTAGAAGACAGGAGATGGAACAGGTGCAGCAATGAAGGGCATGCGGGGATAATAAATAGGCAATGCCAGTTCTGAAATGAAGCAGACACATTACAGAGCAAGATTCATAACAAGGAACACAAAAGCAAACCTTCAATGTGCCTCACCAGGGAAGGCCACAGGACTACCAAAAGGTTGAATAGTCTGGGCTGCCATAAATGGCGCAGGAATTGGCTGCTGCACAGGTGCTGGAGCATGTCTTACAAACCCTGGATTGCCCCTCTGTGGTGGTGCATGGCCATCTCTCCCATTAAAGTTTCTGTTCCAATTATGATTCCCATGTTCCTGATTGCGCCTGCCCCCGTGATTTTGATGATGATTGCCATTTTGGTTCCTGTATGAGTTCCGTTGCGATTGGTTGTCATTACCGCCCTGGGATTGTGATCCAAACCCATTCCTCTGGTTATGGCCTCTAGGCGAAGGGTTGTGCAAAGGCAAGTCAGCAAATGAACCCGGCACCTGTGGCTGAGCAACAGTGCCATTAGCAGATGGGAAGGTGCCATTTCGTTTAAAAGATCGATGGCGAGAGTGGTGTGGAGTTGGATTAGGCTGTGTGTCGTTGCCTTGTTTTTGCACAGGAACAGATTCATTTCCAGTTCCCTGAACAATAAAACATAAAAGCATAAGAACAGTATGAAATCAGAATCATGTCAATATCAACAATAGAGTATATAATGCAAGCAAATGAGATGGTGCACACGATGAGAAAAACAGAAAACCTCAACCCCATAAAACTAGCAAGCATTCCAGAACATACAACTCGTATGATCATATCTCTTGATCCTAAGACAACTCAACTAAGTAGCTCAACACGCAAAAATAACTAAAGGTTTTTTTGTTGGTAGGTGAAGGGAATCCGTATCAAGGATCCACAGTTAACTAGAAACACATTCACAACCAACCATCCTTATTTTTTCCACTTCGTTGAGGTAAGATGCATTTCAACAGGAGGCGTAGAGAATCAGTAAAAACCTCGGAAAATAAGTCTGCTAAACTTTTGTAGCAATCAAGCATCATAAAACTGCATCAATCTGTACAACATCTCAGTTAAAATCAACCAACGACGGAGATATTAGGCACAGAAGGCATAAAGTTTCCTCTTTTAAACCAAAAAAAGCAAGCAAACCATTCAAACCTGAGAAAAGGGAACGGAAGATGACGACGCCGATCCATCCGACAAACTTTTCAACGAATCAGAAGAAGACTTGTTCGAAGGAGTTTTCGTGGTCTCAGAAAGAGCAGGCCACGACGATGCCCCCATGACGGGCCCGATCTCAGAGGCTCCATTGGACGGCCTGTTCCAAACCGGCTTCTTTCCCGCATTGCCCTGAACTCCACCAGAGCTCTCCGATTTCTCATCGTCCTCCACCGACGCCGCCGCTGTCATGAGAGGAGAGGAGGGAGCGGCAGAAACGGAAGCAATCGGCTGGATCGCCGCCCTGGATTGAGGCGAGGAAGGAGCGGCGGCGATCGGCTCCGATTCACCGCGCACGATTTGGGTCCATGGAGACGATGAGACCTGCCGACCCGGGCGGCGTAACATCGATCAACCAACTCAGAGGAAGGAGCGGCGGCGATCGGCTCCGATTCACCGCGCACGATTTGGGTCCATGGAGACGATGAGACCTGCCGACCCGGGCGGCGCGATTGAGATCCGGCGGCGGCCGTAGGGCTACCGTGATTCTCGCCCATGTAGCGAGGAGACGAAGCAGAAGAAGATGTGGCGTTATTGGCACTAGCAAGAGCATCAGATGCCATCATCGGACAAAAATTAGGGTTTGCTCGCGAGTCGATGAGCTTTGATCGACACAGTATCTAATAACGAATATCGATGGCCCCGACCAAAAAAACCAAACAAAAACCCACAAAAAAAACAGATGGTGACAAATCGAGGAAAGGAGGAGAATCTCTGCGACGGAGAGATTAGGGTTAGGGTTTGTGTAATGCCAAAAATTCTCCAAAAAAAATTTCCGGGAAGGAGAAGGAGACGATGCAAGGGGAGAGAAGGAGCAGTGGAGGCTCTCTCTTCTTTCCTTTCCTTTTCAGCCTCTCTCTAAAAGGGCATTTTATATTTTTTTGTTTTTGTTTTTTATTTTACTTTTTCCCGTTTCGCTTAGCCCTTGAGAGAATCGTGCTGCGGCCCAAGCACCGGGAAAGTGATAAATTACTGAATTACCCTTATGATAAATACGATAAAGAAAACACAATTTTCTCTGATTGGCTATAAAGCTTGCTGGTGGATTATTGACTTTTTCGTCAAATGTTTCGGATGTGACACGTGTTGCTATGCGATTGGATGTATTCTCAAACAAAAATTAAAACAAATCGATTATATAGTTAATTGTGAATAACGTTTTTTAGGCGTGAGATTACAACAACACAAATAAAATTTTAGCACTTAAATTGCAAATTGCACGCCTTTTATTTTATAATGTACTCGCCATTAGATAATTTTTTTTATTTAGATGAAAATAATAATATTTATAACTGAATATTTAACAAGTAAGAGAAATATTTTGATAAAATTTATTGTTAAGATATTTTAGGATTTTGTAAAGAAAATAAAGATATTTAAGAATCAAATATGGTAGATTCCATTTTTTTTCCTCACAATATATTATATACAATCCTCTCCCATAAATGCATTCAACATAAACATTAATGTATAAAAAGTGTACATATTTACGTGCATCCAAAAGAAATGGAAACAATATGAGGTTTATGAATAACAACTATTTACACCCTAATATCATCTCTAATAAATAAAAAAAATCACAACTATATAGAGATATATATATATATATATATATATATATCACTTATATATGATGTGTATGTATAAACTAAATGCAAATATTTTTTATGGACTGATCTATACAGATTTTTAAAAATTCAAAATGTCGAAATTTTGAAATAAAATTAAAATTAATAATAGAATAAAAAGTAAATATGTGAGACAGTGAAATAGATACCATTTGTTTTGTCATAATATATTACATTATATTGGTTATAATCTTTTTTTACTTGAATTGCAATATCAAAGGAATTTGTTTACATTTAACAAAAAAGACTAACGATTGAATAGTGTACGAAATTCGCGTATGGACACATTTACATTAATCCAAAAGAAATGGAAATCACCAACAAAACTAAATATAAAAATTATATGATCAGTTTTTTATTTAAATCATATGAGATTTATAAATAAAAAGATATTTATAACTTGATATTATACCTGATAAATATAAAAATTACAACTATATGTGTATACATATATCACTTATATGTAATATGTGTATGTCACTTATATGCAACTTAGTATATAAACCAATTTGATTCCTTATTGAATTAAAGTATGGATTGAGATATTAAAAATAAAAAATATATAATTTGTGAATCAAAATTGATTGTAAAATGATAAATGTGCAATGGTGTGAGGTGCAAATGAGGTGACACGTGTTCTTATACGATTGGATCGATTCTTAAACAAAACAAAAACAAATCATAAAATTAAATAGTTAATTGTAAATAGTCGTTTTTAAATTGCTGTAAGATTACAACAACACTAATAAATTTTTAGTAGTTAATTGTAAATTGCACGCCTTTAATTTTACAATGTACTTTCCATTAAATAAAAATTATTATCAAGATGAAAATAAGTATAAAAATTATATTAACATATTCATTATCTAAATCAAGTAGGATTATGAATAAAAAATATTTACAATATACTATCATACCTAATAAATACAAAAAATTATAATTGAATAGATTATTATATTAAATTATGTACAATCTTTTTCTCATAAATCATTCTGTTGAATTCAAACAAATTCGTTTTCTTGCTAACTTTGTTTATCTACCACGATTCGTCATAAACTATTCGATTATTTGATTAAAAGAGTTGATTTAATTCCTCATACGTGATTGATCTATCGTTATCTCGTAAATGATCAATAATAGAAGTTAGAATATCAAATAAAACGATAGCAGACCCAAATTAAATTAAATTTCTCTATAATAAAATTAAATTTGTCTCAATCATATATATTTTTAGATACTCCGCTTTACAACTACAAAATTAGTAGTAGAACAAGAAATAATTGTCTCTTACACATACCAATCTTTTGTTTTACAGTATATTATATTATGTATAACATTTTTCATAAATCTTAGTGTTAAATGAATTTGTCTTCATTCAATAAAAATGGTTATCGTAAAAAGCAAAGAAATACAAAGGGTAAAGAACACTAAGTATAGAAACTATATTAGCGGTTTCATTATCTAAATCATTTAGGGTTCATAAATAAAAAAATATTTACAACCCAGTAATATCATACATGATAAATACAAAAAATCACAACTATATACGTATATTACTTATATGTAATGTGTGTGTATATATATAAGCCAAATGCAAATCTTTGATCTTTGATGTGATAAAGAGGGACTCCTAAAGAACCAAATCACTGGAGAGAGACGTTGAACTAAAAGAATATGATTTGATCAGAGGAGGAGAACCAAAACTGGGAGTAGAATCAGAAGCAAAAGTGCAAATGAGGCCGAAGATGCGGACGAGGAGTTCCGCCTTTGAGAGGGTATGTTTGTGGCCTCCGGGTTGAACGAAGTGGCCGGAGGTCTGGCCGTCGAGAAAGTCCCGTTGTAGGGTACGGAAGACGCCTCGCCGCTGTAACCTGAAGAACACAAAAGATTCAAGAAGATGAGATGCGGGCTCGGGCGAATAATACAAGATAAAAGTGACCCAACAGGTACAATCCCGGGGGTGTAACTAAAACCCGAGGGCCGAGGCTGTCGTAACCACGAGAACAGGTCATTCAAATTTTCGGTATCTGGGCTGTGAACCAGGATAAGATACGCAAGTACATTCATAGCTATGTTTATAGTGCCTCAGCTGGTAAGCTAATGGGACTTTTAAGACAGAAACATTTGTATGTTTTGTAAGGGCGTGTGAACGAAAGTAAATCATCGTAAACACACTCACAGTCGGATTCTTTCCAACCGAGAACCATCTTCTCACGATCAAAGACTATGCGGTATCCAGTCATGAAGTTCTCTGCATCAGCAGATCGAAAAATCCATAGCACGTTTAAGTTTAAATCAGATTCCAAAATGTGACATAAATGGAAGCAGGAAGATAAATGATCTCCAGTCGAGTTCGTAGATAGATACTTACGTCCGATGATGCTGATATCTTCGATTTTTATGACGGCTAAGCAATAGACGTCTGTGTCCTGAGAGATAGAAAGGGAACAGCTTTACTATAAGGCCGAGAAGGGCAATTTGTCCAAAACTTAAGAGCGATATAGAGCGTTGGATGTGAGAATCTTCGGGGGGCTAACCTTCATAGGGATGACTACTAGTGGGTGATAGACGGGATATGTATCTCCGCCCTTCATTGTCAGATTCACGGCCGGGTATCGGAAGCTGTCTTGGTTTGGACTGCAAGGGAGGAAGAAAACAGTACTCGGGTTTTAGGAAAACTCGGGAGATGATTATCGGGACATGTTTTGGTAGGGAGGCCAAAGGAAAAAAAACCTTAACGCGTAACAGTACTCAAACGGCAATTCGGAATCAGCTTGGTAACGTTTGTCCAGAGCAAGAGAATTGAACTGCAAAAACAACATATGTTTTGTTAGTCGTCATCTATTACTACGTACTCTTCAAGATAATATGGTTATACGCTATAAACGAAGACGTACGCTTTCGGAGATAAGGGTATAAGCCGGATCAGTCAAATACGTGAATGAGGTCCCGGAGTCAAAAACAGCACTAAATTCGAGATCAGCGGTATTCCCTCCCACGATGATTTGGTTGACGGTGACATTGTAAGTAGGACTGGTAACAGAAACAAAAAAAAAAAGATTCAGACAAGGAAAAAAACCAAAGAAATGAAGAACAACCGGAAGTAACTTTCACGAATGAAAGAGACAAGCTCCTGTTGGAAATGGTGTGACTGTCTTATGTTTACCGTGATTGTCTTATGTTAAACGGTGTCTCCCTTTGGTCCAAGCTGCCTTTATCTCCAAAACCGATCCTCCCAGTTCCGTCATGTCCAAAACACATTGAAAAAGAGTTCGCTGAAACTCCTTGCTTCGCTAATACGCTTGGAACAGCTACATCTTCTAAGCCAAGGCCAAAAAGACCATTTGGAGCCGCCCCATCGTGGAACACACCCGTTTGAACTTGACCACAACTACACAAATGGATAAGGCGAGGAACAAAGATTAAGGAAGAAGAAATGGGCAACGGGTTTGCGCTAAAAAGAGAAATTGACAATCCATGGCTTACCCCAAGGTAACCCTCGCATCAACAGCTTTGGATCTATTGTCGTTTGTAACTAAGTGAAGCACATCCTCAACCAAGAACCCAGTAGACGACGTACCATTGGAAAGATACCGAACCTGATAAGGGCAACTACTAAGAGAAGATGGGCACCGATCACCTCTTGTACATAACGTGCTATTGCATAGAACGTTAGTGCTTGTGGACGATGCATTAGGGCTGTAAACATTGAGGTTCAATGTCTGTTAAGACAAAAAAAGCTCATGTAAGGAACATCACAACAGCAAAAAGTTGATTAAACTATTGCTTAACACTTTTCGGGTAACAAATAGGCTACAAGGAGAGTTCAAAAATGGATATGATGAAACAGCTACAAACTGAGAACACATGTTTGGAAGGTCTTTTGTCTCAACTTTGTCCAAATATAGAAGCTTCTGTCAACAGATTGCGTAAGTCAGATTCATAAACTACAGCTAATCTTTTGTCTGAACTTGGAGTCTCAATCATAAGCAATAGAAAACCCGATTCTTCGAATCTGGAGAGAACAAAACCTAAGATCAAATCCAAGAATTACCGCGCCGCCTGGTGATTTCAAGTCTTGAACACAGTTGGTGCAATCGCAGGGCAACCAGAACAAGTCACTTCCGGTGTCTAGAGCGACCAGGAACCATTCAGGCGGCGTCCCTACCGTCACATTCGCGTAATGCAAGCTGCACAAACAGGACAAAGACACGGTAACATCGATCAACCAACTCAATTTTGTCCGATTCCGACAGCAAATCAACACGCTTTTCCAAAATTAAGATCAGCTCTCGAAGCATACACAACGCACACAGATGATAAGAACAGAGGAACCTTACAATCCAAGAGTGTCGACGCGAACAGTCTCGTTGCCGTCGGCGAAGGTGACCAGAGACTGGTCGTTTCCGGACGCGAGACGACGGCCTCTGATCAGGCGGTCTCGATGAGCCATGACTCGGTAATACTCGGGCGAGTCCCGACTCGGCAACCCATCTCCGGGCAAAATCCCCACGACCCGATCCGAGAACCGGTGGTTGAAATCGAACTCGAATCTGCCCAATCCGTCGCAACCCTCCATTCCCCAGCTAGAAATCAGCAGACCCAATAGCAGAATTCCACAGCTCGAGAACCAATCCATGACGGTTCCAGTTCTCACCCCAGATTCCGGACGACTTTCCCGAGAAAACGATGGAAACAAATGTAACCCCTGGATCTTTCTCTGTGGATAAGACAAGAAGAAGTAGAAGAAGAAGAAGAAGAAGACGACGACGGCTCGGGAGAATTAAAAACGAATCCGAGAAGTGAGGTTCGGAGGATCTTGAGAACTGGGGAAGCTCCTTTTCCCTTTGAAGTCAATTTTTTCCCCTTAATTTACAATTTTCGGTTTAATAAAATTAAAATAATTGGAGTAACATTTGTTGTTAATTAATCAGGTTTAATCATTAATTAAGGAGAAAATGGTGAGTAGTAGTTTTCCTAGCCTGAAACGGCAACGGTCAATTTGGCGCCATTTCGGTCGGGCGACGACACGGGGTTGGCCACTTGCCGAGTCAGGTCACCGGTGTGGGACCCAGACCTCTTTTTCTTTATTTTTTTTAAATATTCAACCTCCCTCTTTGAAAAATTAGAACTCATTAATTTCACATTCACATGTAGTTGGACCGACTTTACTATATATATATATATATATATATATTTTCAATTTTACATATTATAAAATAATCCGTGGTCGGTACGCTCGGTTAACGCAATTTGTTAATCTACCCCGAGACAAAAACAAAAATAAATAATAAAAAGAAATGTTACTCTAACTATTATTTATATAGAATTGTGTGATATTTATATTTTGTTTAAAAATAATTTATTATTGAAAATGGGGGGGGGGGGGGGGGGGGGGGGAGTGCCTCTGTCATTAATCTGTTGTTGGTATGTGAAATAGTCCATTCTATATTAATTCGTTTGCCGATTGCATTTGATATATTATTTGTCTTGTATTCTCCAATGGATTATTTCAAATTAATTAGGTTATCTAGCATAAGATTTTTGTTCTCAAATTAAAATATTTGGGTCGTTGTAGACCCATTCGTCTCTTTTCCAATATAAAAAATATTTAATTTTCCATTAAAATACAGCGAACCGGTGGCCTAATCATAAAATAAAATAAAAAAAGGCTCCTCAAAAGAAATTAGATACAAATATAGGGGGGAAACTACAAATTAATAAAAACAAGAGGGCGAAGATGAAAATGAGAGGCTTGACGTCCAAATTACAGTGTCGGCCCAGCTCAGCTAACGGGATCGTGACACGTGGCAAACATCGAACGGTCACTGTCAAGTGGATGAGACAAAACACCACAAAGATACCGGCACGTGGATTGCACGTGCCACGTAGAATATCTCTTCTGCTCTATAGAATGAAAGTTCTTCTGGGTTTTGAACCAATATGGGTTAAATTCAAGGCAAATAAATTGAAGAAATGGTCCATAGATTTCATATATATATATATATATATATATATATATATCCCATGAAATAATTTTTGTCGTCTTAACTGGTAAGTAATAGATTAAAATCTTTCTCGATTCAGGTTCAAGTATTATATTCACTCGAATTTTAAAACTCGATAAATTTTCAGATCATCAAAAAAAAAACTTTACTTTCATATATATATATATAACTGTTGAATTTCATAACATGCTAGAAGAAAAAATTTAGTTAAACAAAATCCGAATCTTTTAAACAAAAAATTTATTTATTCTGATACAATTTTTTTTTATCCAATTTGGAATTAAAACGTTGTTGTTGTTTCAATCAGACCGATATTCGATTTGAAATTTCCAACTATATATATATATATATAAATGTGTATGATATTAGTGATATTAATATTGTAATGTATTCGCTTTTTATCGGAACACGCGGGGATATTTGGAAAATCTGAAAAGTATTCGTCGGCTGATACGAGAAAATAATGTCTCATGTTTGGAAAATAACATTTTTAGATGTTACATATTTACTCCGAAATTGTAAAATATTTTCGATTTGAGCCATAAAGTCTTAAACATGTTCCAACAACCCCCGGCTTGAACTTTGTTTGTGAGCCGATTTTGGATATTTGGGCCCATGACAACTGGGCCTACTTATGTACGATCCAAATGCTAATGCTTACTTTTACAATGGAAAAAAATACTGAAAGACAAAAAAACATAATAATGATAATAATAATAATAATAATAATAATAATAATAATAATTGCATGATCTTAATATCATAGATACAATACGAATGTGATTAGTCAAATGAATTGGCTCAACGGGTTTCATTTTGTATATAATATAACCTGTTTTGACTTATTTGTTTTTTTAGTGATTTAATAGAATTTCATTCAAGAGAAATTATTAATTAAAATCTGATAATTTTATCGATTCGATTTTTATTTATATTCTCTATTAATTTAAAAATCACAATAAAATTTCAATGTTCGGAATTTAATAAATTCAAGTTATATGAAAAATATATTAGGCAAAAGGAATTTTGGTAAGGGTTAAGTCCACATGGTGTTGGCCACTTGTTCCATAACGCATGTGCACGCGTTGCTCCTTTCTTCTTCTGACACCTCATCTCCTCCCATTTTCTACACATTTTTTAAATCACTAAATCAATTTTTGTTTCTTCTTAATTATAAATCATTTACGTTCCAATTCATAAAATTTATTAATGTAAACCACTTTATTTAAGACAGATGTTATCTTACCATTTCCAATTACTGCGTTAATTTCCATGCAAGTATTAACCATTGGTCAAATAATACATTAATCATACAAAAGCAAAGTAGATTTTTTTTTCTGGAAAAAATTATTTTAAATATCTGTGACTTTTGATTATTTTGTGTTTTATACATGCGCTGACACGTCATATATACACCGGATACGTATGTATATAAACTATATATACACTGATATACGTATGGAGCCCATTGCGTTGCTGGCTCTCAGCCATTGTTCATCGTTGATCTTTCCTTTTTTTGTGTGTTTTTGTTTTCTATTTGATCAGATCTTCATTAATAAGACAGTTTACTTGTTGTAGATAAAGAAAAAACACAGGGAAAGAAAAAAGTCTGCGTTTTTTCCCCTACCCTCCCGTCAAATCACACTACAGATCGGAAAAAAGGTAACTTTTTTTTTTTTGTTTTCGACCCAACAAAAAAATGGGTTTCCGATGATCTCGTCCATCTATCCTGTTTTTCCTCTCATTTCTCTTCCTTCAATCAGAGGGAGAAGTGGGCAGAGAGAAAGAGAGAGAGAGAGTAGTCAATCTTTAAGCAAAAGTGGAGAAACTCGTTGTGTATCTGTTTCTGATCCGAAAGATCCCTAGATCTGACGCTTTCTCTGTTTCATTAAAGATACAAAGACGGTGCCGAACTTATTGCGAGCGCAATTGTACAGTGAGTTCCCTTTGTCTTGTCTCTTGTCCTCCCTTTTCCTTGGTCCGAATTCTCTTTCTTCCTTGGCGTTTAGATGAGGGTTCATTCATTCCTTTTCGTTTCCTTCGGTCGCTGGAATTCGGGGTTTTAGTCAAAATTTTGGCTTTTTGGTGACTCAGAAATGCGAAAACCCATGTAGCTTTCATGGCTATGGCTGAAAGTCCTCTTTTTTTGCGGTCTGGAACTGTTGATGACGTGGATTGCTTCGAATTTTATCCAGATTTTGATTCGTGGGTCGATTTTTTCTCCTCGAAATCTTTGGCGTTACTGGGTCATTGGCTATGATCTGGGTTTGAAACTCAACGCGTCAATTACGGAGACGACTCTGAGCTCAAGAATTTGGTATTTATGCATAATCGCATTGGTCAAACGTTTTGGATCAGTTGCTGTTCGCAGGATCTGTGTCCGGATTATTTCCTAAGCCTCAGTTTCGATTTAATTTGCTTGTCTCGTTCATTTTTTCTTGATCATAAGTTGATTTGCTCTGCTGAACAGTGAGGGGCTTTGAGAGAGGTTTATACAGGCAATTGAAGATGCAGAGTCTGGCCAGGTGGTACTTGAATGAATCACACTAGGAGAGGTTGGCCTTTGCTGAAATGAGGGATGTTATCAAAGTTAATGAACTTCCTGAGGTCATGTTGGAGACCCTATTCGGCTCATTCGGGTTCAGACACTGCAGGACGTCAAGACGGGCTTCTATGGTACAAAGATATTGGTCAGCATCTGGCTGGTGATTTCTCCATGGCTGTGATTCAGGCTAATAATCTGCTGGAGGACCAGAGCCAGATCGAGTCTGGTCCTTTGAGTCTCCTTGATTCTGGTCCTTACGGTACCTTTGTCGGAGTATACGATGGCCATGGAGGGCCTGAGACTTCCCGTTACATCAATGATCATCTTTTCCGCCATCTAAAGAGTAAGAATCTGGTTGCCTCTCCTGAACAAGGAGAATGTCTCTGGAATCTTAAGTTTGAGAAAGCATGTTGGAATTGGTTAGGTTCTATCCAATATAAGTTATCCTAATCTTTGTCGATTTCTTGGGCAAAAAGGGTATTTTTTTCTGTGTTTAATCCTGCTTTATGAAATTGTTTTTCAGGGTTTGCAACAGAACAACAATCCATGACTGTAGATGTGATAAAGAAAGCATATCAAGCAACAGAAGAAGGGTTCTTATCTGTAGTTACGAAGCTGTGGCCGGTGAATCCACAGATTGCAGCTGTTGGGTCTTGCTGTCTTGTCGGTGTTGTGTGCAATGGAACCTTGTACGTTGCCAATGTCGGAGATTCCCGTGCTGTCCTCGGGAGGCTTATGAAGGCTACCGGAGAGATTATTGCCATCCAACTTTCGTCTGAGCATAATGTGGCCTTAGAATCTGTGAGGCAGGAGATGCATTCTTTGCATCCTGATGACTCACATATTGTGGTTTTAAAGCATAATGTGTGGCGAGTGAAGGGATTGATACAGGTAAGGTATCTCTTACACAGATAAATTAGGGAGAAAATGTATGTATGTTATGTTTGGACATATATGCTTGTTTCTGATAGTATTTATTTGAGTTAAACTATCTCTGTATACTCGATTTTTTTCTTACGTATTTGGAGACGACAAGCTGAAAACTCGGACTTTGTCTTACTATTTGATCCTCATGTTTTCTCAAATGACAGAAGCTGGGTTTATGTGAATCTTGCCTGCATGTTATGACATGATCTGCAAAGAAATCTGATAATGGGGCAACTTCCTGTTTCTGAAAAATCTTCAGGTGTCAAGATCTATTGGAGATGTGTATCTAAAAAAGGCAGAGTTTAACAGGGAGCCACTCTATGCAAAGTTTCGCCTCCGGGAGCCATTTAAGAGACAGATACTGAGCTCTGAGCCGTCTATCTCTGTTCACGAAATCCAGCCTCAGGATCAGTTTGTTATATTTGCTTCAGATGGCCTCTGGGAGCACCTTAGCAACCAAGAAGCTGTGGATATCGTTCAGAATCATCCTCGCAACGTAAGATATTTTATGTCGTCTCACTGCAATCTTCGTTCTTGAAGAAAGTGTGACTTTTTGGTAGGGAAGAAGTTAAAAAAATGAGTAAAATCATCCCATTTCATCTTAGAAATTGAATCCCCGCAACCCAGATGCATGGGGATTGATACAATGCTCACACCAAATATCTGAATCTTCTCCCTTACTCATAAAAGTTTGGATCTTTAGCTGTATCTCTACCATTTAACATCTCTGTGGTGTTAAACGCCTAAAAGCATCTTTTGATGGGTCCTTCTTTAAACTCTCTCCCTTTTTCCTCGAATCTCTGTCATCTGATTCCATCAGGGAATTGCTCGGAGGCTTGTGAAGACAGCGTTACACGAAGCGGCAAAGAAGAGGGAGATGAGATATTCGGACCTGAAGAAGATAGAGCGAGGAGTGCGTCGCCATTTCCACGATGACATCACGGTGGCGGTTGTGTTCCTGGACTCGAATCTTGTGAGCAGAGGCAGCTCGGTGAAAGGCCCTTCTCTGTCATTGAGAGGAGGCGGTGTTCATATACCTTCAAGAACCTTAGCCCCGACAGAGACCAGCAGCACTACTGGCTAGAACGCCGGATCCGAAATCTGGCTTTTTATAGGTACAGTTTGGTTTGTTGTACGATGGAAAATGTATCCTTTTTCACGACATAGCCAAAGTAGATAGCTCTAGATTCTTTCCTGTCTTTTTTTTTTTGTTAACTCAAGAAAGATCCATGGGTATGTCCCCTCCTGAACCACTGGTAAGATTGTTCGTTAAGTTACAGGCCAAGTAGCTTTCTTTCTTTCATGGCTTTCGCTTTGTTTGGTCTGAAAATTTCTTCGGATGAAGAATCAACGAAAAGGAAAGGAACCCTTCTTCTCTGAGTTTCTTCGTTCTCGATCGCCATAGTCGTGGCCTGAATTTTTCTACCAGACGCCACAAGCTCTTAAGAAGTAGAGAAAAAAACTCGTTTTTGGTATGTTCTTGTTGGGGAAGGGAAGAAGAACAGCAGAGAGGCATGAGAGCTCGAACTGACTTAAGATTCGAGCTGATGATGTCGAAGAGGAACTTGGGTCTGAACTCATATTTCCTGAAGCCTGTCGTTTTAGCAGCCCATGGACAAAAAAAAGCTTGTTCCTTTCTTCTTCTCCGAAGCTTTGTCGCTTTAGCAGCCATGGAGATGTTCCTTTCTTCTTCCCCGAAGCTTTGTCGTTGTAGCAGCCTTGGATATAAGAGCTTTATCCTTCCCTGAAGCTTTATCGTTTCAGCAGCCATGGAGATGAAAAGCTTGTTCCTTTCTTCTTCCCTGAAGCTTGTTGTTTTAACAAATAACTACCCTTTTGTCCATTCTCTCTCATGTTTTCAGCAATAGCTTTTTTTTTTAAAAAATTTCTTTTAGATTAATCGAATTTCTCTCAATAAAAAATCAAAATATTATTCTTTTTCTCCTTTCATATATTCCTTTTTTTTTTAATTTTCTTAAATATAGATTATATTTTCTTCTCCATTTTAAATTATGCACAGATTATCCGTTTTTTTTTTACAATATTGATCGGTAATGTAAATATATTTCATTTTTCTTTTGCTAAATTGAAAATTTCGCTTTAAAAAATAAAAATAAAAAACTAAATCCCTTTGATTGACAAATCGGCTAAAGATGGCTTCGCCATCGGGAAACCTCGACAACAACAAAGCCAGCCCCAAAGCGCGTGACGCGTCACTGCTCGCACGCCACCGTTTCTTCTTCTTCCTCTGTTCATCGTCTTCTCCCACATTCTCTCTCGAAGAAATTTCATCGAGCTTCTCGCGGATAAACCAGCCATGTCGTACGATTACCTTTTCAAGTACATAATCATCGGAGACACAGGTGACGACGACCTATTTGATTCCTCATCATCCCTCTCGCTGCTTCTCTTTTCGAATTTCGAAATCCCGATGTTCCTGGGGGTGCGAATTTTTCATGGGTTTGCTTCGCAGGTGTTGGGAAATCGTGCCTGCTTCTGCAATTCACTGACAAGAGGTTCCAACCTGTCCACGATCTCACCATTGGTGTCGAGTTCGGAGCCCGCATGGTCACCGTCGATGGCCGACCCATCAAGCTTCAGATTTGGGACACCGTAAGTGTTTAATTTCTCTCGCCTTCATCGTTGTCTTCTCAGTATCTGATTATGTTTCTGAGGTTTTATCATATTAGCCGATAATCTTATACTTAGAGTCCATACTTGTGGATGGTTATCGTACTGTACTGAGCAGATAAGATTAGGAACCGTACGGGTCATAATCAGAAGTTTGCTAAACTATTGGGTTAATTAATTGCCGATTAGGAGTGATTATACTGTGATTGTTTTTGCTAATTATGCTCGAAATTCTGTAATTCACTCGAGGAGTTAGCTGTAATTATTAACAATCAACAAAATGCCTTGTTCCAGGACAATGTGTTTATATCTCCTGATAAAAGTTTTATCAATTGTTTGCATCATTTTCAATAGATGTATCTTTCTGGTGTTGTTGGTTTGATTTGCGTAATTTTCTTGTGTGCAGTTTCTTTTGGTTTCTTTTTCTTTATCCCTTTTCATTAATGATCATCTTGTCAATATTCCTGATTTGGTACATGGTATAATATGATACTTGTAAAAAGAGTTTCTTGCTTCTTGATGTATTGGGCTGGACAATATCGGGGTGTCAGCTCGATTTTGTGGTACTCATCCAACGAATTTCATGTGGTTTAGGCTGGACAAGAGTCTTTTAGATCCATCACAAGATCATACTACAGAGGAGCAGCTGGAGCCTTGCTGGTTTACGACATAACCAGGTCAGTACTACAAGTGTTCTTCCATTACTGTTGTATCCTGGTGCTCGTGCTCAAATGATTAAGGAACTGATACTGATATAAGTTATTATTTTATGCTTTCATGAGAATTTTGTCTACTCTAAAGTCTAAACCCATATTTTCAACCGATTTTATTGAATTTCCAGGATGTCCCATGAAAGTATCTTCTTATCTGAGCGCGTTTCGGTTCTTGGCTTTCTTTAGAATTGAATATATTTTTGGGTTTTGCTGGTTGGATGTTCTGCCATTCTACTTGGAATCTGAATTTTCAGCATGAATATGAAATGGCGAGATCTTTGACTGGGTTATTTTGAGTGTAATAATATATATAGGTCATGTTCGCCTGTTTACCAGGAAAGTACTCGTTATCTGATCAAATGTCTTTACCTGGCAGTCCTGACACAACGACATTGTCTGTAGTCTAAGCATTCGATTTTTTCTTCGGAATTTGTGTTTCAAAATATTTTTGGCTCTTTTCACTTGTATGGATTCTTTTCTTTTTTTTTTTGTATATTTTTTTAACAAAGATTGTGGAAGTCTCTCTATTGATCAATACTTAAAGGATTTTGGTTATGCCTAATGAATGATTTGAAGAGGTATTTTAACAACTGATTGGAAATTTAATCGTTGGAACTCAAAATCAAAATTCTTCTGCAGGAGAGAAACGTTTAACCATCTTGCTAGCTGGTTGGAGGATGCACGTCAGCATGCGAATCCTAACATGAGTATCATGCTGGTTGGGAACAAATGTGATCTCGCCCATAAGAGGGCTGTGAGCAAAGAGGAAGGCGAACAGTTTGCCAAAGAACACGGGCTGCTGTTCTTGGAAGCATCTGCAAGAACAGCTCAAAGCGTCGAGGAGGTGATCGTCTATCCTGATTACTACTACTTCTTACTTACCATCCTTTTTTCTTGTTTGACCTTGCAGATTTACATTTCAAATTGTTTTCTTTTCCTCTGATGTATGGAGAGATTTGATTCCACATATCTACAGGCCTTCATAAAGACTGCTGCCAAGGTACTTCAGAATATTCAAGATGGTGTCTTTGATGTATCCAATGAGGTATGGTTATAAATAACTAAACCCCCACTCTTGAATTCGATATACCATCTTTCCCTTCCATGTCCTTATCTTCGTAAGCCTATTCGCTTTTCAATTTATCATGGTATGGTATCTTTAGGTTTCTTTGCTCCAATCCGGGCTAGGGGCATCTAATTCTAGGGCCGATGCTTTATTTATAATACCCTAAATCTAAGTGAATCTTTTTTGGTTGAACATATTCGAAGCTCGAGAAATGATTCAACAAACCTTGTGCAACAACATATAGGAATCCACATTAGTTAGTTCCAATCTTATTTGGCTTTCTGGTTTGGATTGGAGTGTGATATCTGTTAATGGTGAATTGAATTGTTTGGTCTGTAATGTTGCAGTCTTCGGGCATCAAGGTCGGGTATGGACGTCCACAAGGTCAGGCCGGAGGAGGAAGAGACGGTACGGTCAGCCAGACGGGTGGGTGTTGTTGAAAATTCCCCAGAACTCTGCAGAAAACATTGTGGCTGGCACACTTTGATAAAAATTGTATTTTGAATGATCCTTGTGTGCCAAAAAAATCTTTATTGTTATTATTATTATTATTATTATGTGTTACCAGAAAACATCAAAACATCATTGAAATGTATAATAGTTTCGTGTTCAATGTCAGATTCTGAAATCTGGAAATTTAGAGGGTTCTCTTTTAAATCCTGTTTGGTGGAACTGTGGCCAAGATCACTTCTTCACCGTTTTCTCAGCAGAGACAAGTGTTCCTGAAGACAAGAACATCCATCCGGTCTTTATTCGGATAAAAGAGGTGGTGTGGTAACAAACCCAAATGTGCTTGAAGAGATCTTCTTCAACAGATCCAGAAACAAAATATCTTACAAAACAGAAAGCCCTGTAATAATCTAAAGCATCCTCCAGACCGCCATTATCAATCAACTTCTTGGTGAGAGCTACTGCCGAGTAGATCCTGTCCCGACCCTAAGACGCAAGCTATCGTATGTACGCGTCACTAGCATCAACCTTGGATCATCTTGCGGAATTTCTCGTTCCTGAAACTCAGCATGTTGAATGGAAAATCATCAGAAAAAATCCCTATCTAAGAAACGCGAGAACGTGTTGAATGGGCAGTAAATGTATAAAATTTTAAGACAGTTATTGAGAAGGGCTTCTACCTTCAATCCCTTGTAATAAGCTTCAGCAGCAGGTAGGGTAGGGATAATCTTCCTGGCCTGCATCAGGTCCCATATGTAATTCGCCGTTGTGTATCCACCCGTCTGCCAAAAACACAAAACGAGTTTTGAGGTCAAACAATCACAGATTGAGAAAGTGCCCCCCGGCTTTTACCTTTTCACCAGCAGCTTTTTCCAGCAGATAGGCTCCGTTCTTTGGATCCAAGAAAAAGTTGCGGTCGTTCATCTGAACCTGAAATCAACATTATCATCATCCAATCCATCATGAGTAAGACAAGAATATTCTTTCGGTGTTTCAAGATCTTGACATGAGATCACGACACGGGATTTACCAGAGTATCTTGAGCAAGCTGCATTCCCTTTGGGGTGTATCCCACCATGGCCCCTTCAACTAAGGTCTGAAGCAGCACAAAGCAAAAAGAAAATCTGTCTTTAGTATGTTTTTTAAGTCCATGAGAAGAACAAAAGAACCCTAATTTACAATGACTATGGAATTTAGGTATGTTTTTGAAGTCCATTGTGTTAGCTTCAAAAGAACCCTAATCTTGCAAGATCACTCTTAGAGCAAGATTGAATTTTGAAATTCTGTAGTGAAGATAAGACGGAAATTACCGTATATAGTTCAATAACGGGGGCTTTGCCTGTGCTCATGTAATCTTCAAACCATTTGAGACCAGTATCGAGGTCACCAGAGTGTAGATAACATCTGTACATAAATAATAAAAAAACGATGCATGTTATCGGATATTCACAGTCCTGGAAGCCCATTGCAAGTTTTTTTTAACCTGATGTAGCAGTCTACTCAACCCCATGAAAAAGTGACCTTTAACTTGAACCCCCCAAAAAAATGCGGAGTTAAATATCTCAAAGCATCTTTTTACCAAATATATTAGTTACCAAGTCACTTAGGGAGATAAAGATACCACCTTTACGTTACTAAGCACAAATGTGGTGTCTAATATCTCCACATAATTTCTTTACCAAACGTATTAGATACCTGAACAAGGTACCGGCTTTAATTAAAATCTATGCATGTTATATCTTAACACAAAAGTTTTAACAAATATATTTGTCGCCGAAACCTGGCTTAAGTATATGAACATGAAAATGTTGCCAAATGTAACAGTAACCTATTTTATTTCAGTGTGTAAAGAAACCTTCTTTTAGACCATCCACATGAAAGTGCAGTGCAGTATTTCATATCAACACAAGACAGATCATAAAGTAATCAGTATGGTACCTTATAATTTGTATAACCATATAAGTGTCAGTTTCATGACCATCCTGCTTAAGCATCTCTAAAAGAGCTTCCAATGCCTGATACGGTAGAAAAGCACATCAACGTTACAAAATCAACTCGAAAAAATTCAATCAAATGTGAAAAGATTTTGGAATCTGGAATATAAATTACTTTCACGTCTTTGAGGTCAGCAAGGGCACTGAATGCTACGTGATACACAGTTAGGTTCCTCTGGAAAAACCGGGGCCTGTGGGTGTACTCTGCAGTTGGAGTGTTGTACAGCTCCTCTTCACTAACACCATACATCATATTCTCTGCACTTCTTCTCGATGCATCAACTGATGACCATCCTTTTGACTGCTCAACAAGCTCCAGAATCTTTTGGAAAGTGGCAGATATGAGAAAGCAACCCTTGAATTGAAATAGGAGCGTACAAATAGGGTAATTCAAGTTTTACCTTAGTGGAAAGGTCATCTTGTCTAGGAACCTTATTTAGGTGTGCGGTTATAAGTCCTGCATAGCAGAACCTGTTCAAACCAGCACCAGCAGCAGTCATATCACGTACTATAGCATACCTGTTCAATATTTGATGAAAGATTAGAACAAAATGTGAATTTGCTTGCAAGAGATAAGCACTCAAAATGAATAAAAGGAATAGAAAAAAGAAGCACGAAAACTTGATGGAGGGAAGCAGAAACATACACACGATCCAATCGGCCAGCTGCAGCACATGCGTTTAGCAGGCAGATATAGGTCTGCGCATTTGGTTTTACTTCATATCTCTTCATCTCTTCAAATACCTTGAAAAAGGAAGAGAAAGAGCGATGCCGCCAAAGAAATTTAGGAAAAAAAAGGTTGGGAACACGACCCCAGGAAAGGGAAGTAGATGAAACTTTTTCTTTTACAAAAAAATGGTAAATGACATACCCGGATGGCTTCATTTGAATTCTTGCATTTACCACAGGTAGAAATCAAGAAGTTGTACAAATTAACCTACACGTAAAATAATCAACCGATTAATACACGCCACCCACAACCTAAATTGTCCACTAATTCTATAAAGCCTGAATTATTGGACCAATGATCGCGGAATTTATGCTGCCAAATTCTCAAAATACAGAACATTCATCTAGAGATATAATGCAAGATAATGTACTTATGTTTCCGTAAAAGAAAGAAAGCAAGTTCAAGATTCGATAAGCAGAAAACAGAACATACATCTGGAGCAATTCCCAGGGTCTTCATTTCTTCGCGGAAGAACAAGGCATCCTGAAGCCGAGCACGCTTCATCACTCCAACAACCAAAGAATGGAATATATCTGCCGAAGGCTTCACCCCATCTAAAATCATATCGTCATACACATCCCTCAGCAGAAAGCTCCTGTACAAAAGGAAAGACAGTATCATATATACATTAGAGGAATGCACTAAACCATAGGCAAGATCGAATATTTTCAAAGAAACTGAAACAGAACTAGTTCCCCCTACATCATCTCAGCATTTTCCAGCATTGGTAATCATATGAGCACGAACAAAAGCAAATTAACCATATGAATGAGCCGAAGTTCACTGGTTCTGAATCTGTCATCAACATGAACACATGAAACCAAAGACATATATAGGAAGAGAAGCGATCCAAACCTTCGCTGCGCTGTGATAGAATTGACAACTGTATTGTATTCAGAGAGGTTGTTGGCATAGTTCCTCTTTGAATATTCCTCCGTTGATGCCGCCGCACAGTACCGGCGACCCAAAGCTCGGATCAGACATCGATTCTGCCCTGTAATGGCCGATCAAACAAAAACCAAACGCAAGCATTTAGAAATCTCAGCTTCCGAACCATAAGATCGCTCGTCCTGTGCGCATGTACACACGAACGCGTACACGCTGAACCAAAAGAACCCAAAAAGCAAAAACGTAGTTAACAGCATTTTTTCTGAATACCCACAAGCCCATTCACACATACACACGAACGCGTATAGGTTAACAGAGCGAGAGTACCGGAAAAGGATTGAAGGAGGAACTTCATAGCTCCGGAGAATTAGATTAAGACCCAGAATTCGTTGCTTCGGCCGGGAACTTAGCGGGAAATCGAAAGGCGAAAGCGATATGCAAGCTTTTCAGCCGAAGCTCCGTCAGAGAAACGGAGAAGAGTGTTAAGAGAGAGCGGCCGGCGGACAGTAGCAGCTGCTGAGGGTTTAGGGGTGACCCCAAAACAGACCCCCCAAAAAACCGGAAAACGAAACCGAACTAAACCGAATCGAGTCGAACCGGGGAATGAGAACCGGGTTAGCTCACGCTCTCACCTAATCGTAGGTCATGCAATTTGCAATCTTCACCTTTTTTTAAAACAGAAAATGGAGAAAACAACTAGGAAAAAAAAAGTTATTATATGCCATTTATGTTAAAAATAAAAATAATGATTTCATATCGATGATATCCAAGTTTTTTGAACCGACTATATATACTCCATTACCATGGAGAAAAAAAAAATGTGAAAAATTATAAACGCATGTGAAGTTTTTCATAACCAAACACAATGCATATATATATGGCTGGTAAAGTCAAGGAATTTAAGGGTTTGATGTAAATTGTGTGTGAGCTTACTCCTTATATGATTAATATCTCAAAAATTAAATATTTCTCAATATTTACCAAAACCAAATATTTTCTTAATTTTATTTTCAACCAATTTGACATATATATAAGCTTAGTGCGTTACATTATGTTGATGTCCTTTTTTTTTATATTTTGTCTAAAATACTTTCCCGGAATATAAAATTCAGAAATATATAGTTTGCAAATGAACCAAAAACATAGGCTAAAATTCATCATCATCTTGTTATTATTATCATCGTCTTATCATTGCATGCTTTTTTTGTTTGTCGGATAAAATTCAGGCAGAACATCTCTTAGTAATCCTGATTCTAAGACCGTCTTTTACGTGAAGGGGAGCTGCGGCATTTGGCTCAACATTTTACCCCTCGACGACGTCAATGTCGTAGGTTTGTATGATCTTAACGAGCACTGTCTTCAACTGCGTGAACCGCAAAGAACTTTGCGGGAGGCTTGTGTTTTAACCCTCCGTCCGCGCTGATCCATCTCTCGGGTTTGAAATCTGAAGCGTCTTCCCCCCATACCGCTTCCATCCGCCCCATCGCGTAACTGATGATCAAAATCTTCGAATTTACACCGACCCTATGCCCACTCGGAGTCTTGCGTTGGAATGGGATCACGGGGTAAAGCCTTGGGGTTTCGCACAATGCAGCGTGTAAATATACCAACTTCTCCGGCTCCTTTGGATCAAATGCCTTCTCATCTTCTTCATCACGACGGAGAATTTGAATTCTTGGCATTTTCGTCCTTATTTCTTGTTCGAATCTTGCTCACAACGTTAGGGTATAGCCTCTACCTCTCTCCCTACTGTCGTAAATGTTACGATGGTGTCTCTTTGGAATTTTTCATCATTAGGGTTCAAGAGCTTGTACTTGGCCGGTCCGACATTCATGTAAGATGCCAATAAATCCGTAGCTTGTGTCTTGGAAAGAAGCCCCCGAGCTCATTTCCACCCAATAAATCCGTAGCTTGGGCTTAAAACTATGTATTCTTTTTTCATATAAATCTATAAATTTTATAATTTAATTATAATTCACAAATCGGTATGATGTCATGTAAAGGCAACGCAAATGGTTTGTTTGTTTGTGAAGGAAGAAAAGAGAGTTTACAGGTCCCGTCGACACAAGGGACAAGATCCATGCCTGAGAAGCCAAATATCTATGCATGGCAGATGAAACATGTGGTGGCATTGCGGCAATCTCCTCACCGTTTCACCCATCTGGAAATCCTGCCCAAAAAAAAAACATGACGAGGAACCCAATAAAAAACATTTCAGATTCGTGATTCGGGAAGAAGATTCAACAAGAAAACATGATGAGGAACCCATTAACAGATTCCAGATTCGTGATTCCGTGATTCGAAGAAGAAGAAGAAGAAGTTGTGTTTAGAACCTGAAGACAGACAGAACAAGAGACTTTGTTGCCAGAAGCATCAGTTATGGTGTTCTTGCAGGTGATTTTGACCTTTGGGATCTTCTCAACAATGTCTCCTGCCAGTCCCTTTGAGCCACCTGTGTCAAATATGCTCGAGAGCTCATCAGATGTCGCGTCCGCAGCTCCCATCTGATCAGATCAAGAAAGGGAAAACAAAAGGATCAGGAAATTGAGTGAGAACCCCTTACAGCAAATGGATCAATACTGCATTCTGCGTATAAAAGTACCTGACTTTGTACCGCACTTAGCATTGCCGGACCTATCCGCTCCCGTACAAGTCTCCCACTTAGCAGACTGACTATTACATCAACCTGGACAGGATTTACATGGAACATGAATCATTATAAGCTCAGATTTCATTATGATTTTTGAAGGTTCTTTGTGTAGTTGGGTAGAAAAAGGAAGAATTACTAGGTAGAGAAAGCATCCAAAACCAGAATCGTCGGATTTCCAGAGGACAAGAGAGGATTCGAAGACCTCGATCGAGAAAACAGCCCCTGAAATGGCTCCAACCGCAGCTCCTCTAACGAAACCACTCTCTGTTTCTTGTCCTATCAAAGCTCCTGTAAGTGCCCCCAACAATGTGCCGACTGACAACATGCACAAGACGAAATGGAAACACATTTCTCAGTCCCCATAATCAAAGTTTCAACCTTTCTATCAGAGAATTCCGAAATAAGGAAAGAGTAGATATGAAAATTCATGGGCAAGCATAAAATATTCTCTAATAGAACCTAATGATTCCAAATGATCAAAGCCATCCAATAGGGGAAAACCACTAGATTCTTTTCACAATGCTTAGATTTTCGAATCTGGGCAAGCATAAAACAAAGATACCGCAACACTATAATTGAGATTATTGCAGAAAATAGCATCCCAACACTGTAAGACAAAGAGTCAAGTTCCAGTCAAGTAATCCAGAAACAAAAAGCCAGATATCGTAGCTAACTAAGAGCCAAACCTAAGGCAAATAGGAAGGTCAAGATCGCGGAAACAAATGTGCCAATAACAGCGGAGACGGCGAAATGGCAAGCGTCTTTAATCCGTTCGACGAAATTATCGAGAGAAGGACACGACGAAAGGGGACAAAACCCAGATCGGTATGATGGAAAAGACGACATCTTCTAGCGAGAGAGAACACCAAACACGATCTGAGATTGAAGAAGAACTCAGAGAAGAGCTTATATACGAACAAAAGAGAGAGAGAGATTGAGGGCGTGGATATGTATGCTTGCTTAGCCACAAAGCGAAGAGATGCAACGTCTCTCTACTTGCATTTAAAGCTTGGCTTGATCGCTTTCATGGCCAAAATGTTCCACCTGTAGGTGAAGGTGAAGGGAAAAATCTATGGCTACTGTCTCTCGTATGATCATTGTTGAAAACAGGACTCAGCTTTCACTGTCAAAGCACGAGAGAGACTGAGAGAGAAGCCGCGCAAGCTCCACGTGGCAATAACTTTCTACGCTTACCAATTTCATTTGGCAGGGTTTTAAGATAATAAAAAAAATCCTGAAAATATATTTTAGTAAGTTAAATATAAAAATTAAAATTATTTTTTGTTTCTTTAAATTTTTCATTGCAATAAATATACATATAATATGTGTGTCTGTAACCATAATTTGTTTTTGGGATTAAATTTAAACGTGAAAAACAAAGGTTATGTACTTATGTAGTTATGTGTCTATTTTCCACAAGAAAAACACGAATTAATTGTTAAATTTGAATATATATATTTATTCGAGTTAGGCGAAGAAGATTTAATTTTTACACCTATTCTAAAACAAAATAAATATTTAAAATATTCTCGATTAGTTAATATATATATAATTATATTAATAGAGAGAGAAAATGAAGTCTATCGGAAAAAAATATATTGAACTCCAAAATAATAATCCTTTAACACCCAAAAAAATTTGAAAGTGCACTTTTAAAAAACAAATACAAAGAAACTATTATTTAGAGGGTGGTATATTCATTTTGTTTCCATTATTGTACGAGCAACAAAAATATTAAAAGCTGATGTTGCTATATTCTTAAAGATATTTGAATTTATTTTAATCCGACAAAAACGACGGTCCGAAAAATAGAAGAAACCAGTATAGTAAATGAAAAAGAAAATCAATTTTATATCAACAACAACAGTATATGTTTATTTAATTCCAAGTTTTCCTAGGCCCGGCATTCGGGGCCAATTGCATCATAAATTTTAATTGAATTAAAGTCCAACGTTATAAAAAAAATATCCAATTTCATAAAAGGGATGTTCATTCGACCAATTATTGATATATATATATAGCCCCTGAGAAACATCATTTATTTAATTTCATAAATTATAAAACCCACAAAAATAATTCAATTGGTTTTGAATTCAACCTTAATTAAAATTATATGAAATGTGTTCAGATTATTCAGGTTATCCAGTTGATCATTGTTGATAGGATGCCATCGAAACTTAATTTTTGCAATAAATTATTGTTGAAGAGATGAAAAGTGATACAAATTACAAGCATGCGCTAAAAATTAAAGAAATTGTCGAAGAGATAAAAAAAAAAATTATACGATAGATTTTCGAATAACTTTTTATTTTGTTATTTTTTGTTAATCCAGAAGTTCGACCCGACTATATCTCTCAGATGACCAGGGAAGTCAATGTGAATACATGTCCGAGAGGACCGGGAGAGTCCATGTGAATACACCTCCCCACGTAAAGACACATTGACCCATACCCACATTTGTTTGTGTTAGATTTTCGAATATTGAAAAGTATACAGAATTTTGCCTAGAATGTATATATATATGATCATGTAAATATATGAAACCGTTAAGATTAGTTTATCTTTTTAATCATATGGAGTGAGTATGATGGCTAATAGCCATTATATAAATTGATCATTTTGATTTGATATTAGCATGTATATGTTTGAATATCTTGTTTTCTTCTAATATATTTTTTTTGTTACGATCACCAACTAATCAAACGTTTAATCCAACTATATATCTTAAGATATCGAGACAGACTGTGTATCACAATTAAATTGTGTAGTTTCTATCCAATGACACCCTACCTTTTTCAATAAGTTATATCACTCGTTCATCACGAATTGGTTCTTCGAATATATATTTGGTCATAATATTTTGAATTATGAGAAAAATTGCATAATATATGTTTAAATTAATAAGATCAATTTATATGATTAGTACATCTATAATTTATAACATATCCCGGTTTCCGCCCATGGTATTCCTAAAATCCATATGTTTATGTAACTAGCAAAGATCAATCAACATAATAAATTACGTCGGTCCAACGATTATAAAGGAAAAATGGGAAAAAAGACGCAAGCTGTAATTGAGATGGAACTTATAATACAAAGGATTTTGATTGGTGGGGTCGTCTATTTCGGCACGGTGACACGGACACCTCACGTAACCTTAAACACAACCTTTTAAAAAAAAACTTATCATTAATGATTTTAAATTTCAATTACCAAAAAACCCTCATCATTAATTATAACTTGAGTTGACGTAATTTATTTTTTTCGGTTAATTTATTTTCCAATTTGGATTTGTTTCAGTTTATTTATTTTCAAGTTTGGATTTTTTATTTTGTTGGTATATTGTATTTCTTTAGGTTTATTTATTGTCCAGTTATTATATAAAAAAAGAAAAAATGATATTTTCCTACACCAATTTAGTAAAATGTGATCTTTTTCTATATGAATTTTTAATTTGACAAAAACCTACACTATATTGTCAAATGTCCCAAAATCATATACGAATTACCCAATTTTATTACAATTTACTACACAATCTGAAACGGTGTTAAAATATCTGTTAATTGCTGATGTGGAAGACCACGTGGCGGCTGATATGAAGATCACGTGGAAAATTTTGCCATATCAGCATGCCACGTCAGATTTTCAAAAAATAAAATTAATTTTTTTTAAAAATAAATCGAAAATAAAATAAAATATAAAAAATAAAAAATACATATATATACATATACATACATACAAACATATATAAATACATATACATATATATATATATATAAACATATGCAATACATATATATATATATTGTATATATACATACATACATATATGTATGTATACATACAAAATAAAAAATATATATATATATATACATATATCTATATGTGTATATACATATATATTCATATCTATATATAAATACAAATATAAATATATATATTCCTATGTATAAATATATCTATATATACATACAAAATAAAAAATATACACACATATATACATACATCTATACAAATATATATATATATATATATACATAAATTTTTAATTTATTTATTAATTATATTTTTTCTATTTATATTTGATTAATTTTTAATTAATTCATAAAATCAAATAATATTTTTAATGAAAAAATTAAAAAACAACTTCTTACATATAATAAAATTTAAATTTGAGTTGAGTCATTCAAATCAAATATATATATATATATTGTATATATACATATATATACATACATATATATATGTATGTATACATATAAAATATAAAAAAAAATACATGTACATACATATATCTATACGTGTATATACATATATATTCATATCTATATACAAATACAAATATAAACATATATACTCCTATGTATTAATATATCTATATATACATACAAAATAAAAAATATACACATATATATACATGCATCTATACAAATATATATATATACATACGTACAAATATATTTATATATACATAAATTTTTAATTTGATATACAAGTATATAGTTATATATACATAAAAAAATAAAAAAATACATATATATACATATACGTACATACAAATATATTTATATATATACAAATATATGTATGTATATATATATATTTGTATAGATGTATGTATATATATGTGTATATTTGTTATTTTGTATGTATATATAGATATATTTATACATAAGAGTATATATATTTATATTTGTATTTGTATATAGATATGAATATATATGCATATACATATAGATGTATGTATATATATGTATTTTTTTTATTTTGTATGCATACATATATATATATGCATTGCATATGTTTATATATGTATACATGTATATGTATTTATATATGTGTATGTGTGTATATATAAATATATTTGTATGTATGTATATGTATATATGTATTTTTTTCGATTTTACTTTCTTTTTTTTTTTTAAATTTTTTAAATTTTTTAGTTTTTTTTAATTTTGTTTAATTTTTTGAAAATCTGACGTGACATGCTGATGTGACAAAATTTTTCACGTGGCCTTCTACGTCAGCCGTCATGTGGTCTTCCACGTCATCAATTAACAGACATTTTAACACCGTTTCGGATTGTGTAGTAAATTGCAGTAAAATTGGATAATCCGTGTATAGATTTGATACATTTGATAATATAGTGTAGGTTTTTGTCAAATTAAAAATTTGTGTAGAAAAATGTCACATTTTATTAAATTGGTGTAGGAAAATGTCATCCGTAAAAAAACTGCTTGAGGAATATTATGGAAGGCAAAAACATGGGCAACATTACTCTTACGTCCAAGATTTGCTATACGGTTATACATTACACACATATATATACACTGATATACATAAATATATATATATAGAGAGAGAGGTTTATTGTCGTTAGGACAATGCCGTAATCAAGAGTGTTACAATAATCTCAAATAAGCGTTACAATAAAAAAAAAACAGCAAGAAGAAGAAGAAGAAGAAAATGGTTAATAAAAGACAAGCAACAACAGCTAACTGGAACTCATTCTGTGGACTGTCTGAATCCGTACAATCGTGAAGTTTCCAAATGGATTACCTGCGGCCAAAAGGAAAACTCAGTGGCTAACCCAACCAACTGATCACAGGTATGACCCGAGTACCCGAGCCAGTCCGATCAGTGGCTCACCTTTTCCTCAGGAGAGGGTTTTAGACCTTGAACTCGTGGACGTGGAACCATTTCGTGGATGACCACTTGTTCCCTTTGATCACCGGACAGCCACCTGAAACAAGAGGGTTTTTTTCCCGGTTAAAGAACGAGACAGAAACCGCCTGAATTAGCTAACGATGATAAGGTTTTCCCGAAAGGGGATTGTCTCCTCAAACCGTGTAAGCTCGAAGGGTCCAGAGAGGCATCGGGTGTCATGCTCCAGAAAAGCAGTGCGTCTCCCATCTTTGGCATAACGGACAGTCCTTCTTTTCCGCATTGGGAAAGCTCGTTCCACCACGGCACCGCGCTGATGTTTCCCTTTGCAGCAGGGAATACGGTTTCGCCCCCTTCTTCAACATCCGATCTAGCATGTAAAGAGCAAAGATTTCAGCGTAAGGAATGATAGAAAACCGGTAGGATCGGAGATCATCAGAATGTTCCATTACATACAGATACATAAGGACTGTAGCAATTCTCTGCCCTCCGTTCTTGACGTTGAACTCGTCCAAGAAATAGTCGAAGTGAGGCTCATACTTCTGCCCAACTTCATAGTGGAGAACTTGAAGACCTTCCCCGTTTTCTGCACGGCATCACATCACATCGATGCTATGAATTCAGCAGACGAGAGATCGCTGTCCCGTTATTACTACATCCGAGATTCATTACAGCATCTAAAGCCTTCTAGGCACGTACCTACGGGAATGAAGGTGAAATCTGAAATCCTCTGCTCAATCTCCTCAACGACTTTATCGTGTCCTCTTCTAAGAAAGGTTCCCGAGCTTGTCCTTACTCTGCACATGATCAGGTTTGTACGGATAAGAGGAATCGGTTACAATTGCAGACATTTTCAGATTAAGCCGGAACGAGAAAGGATGCAGTTGGTATCCGACCTGCTATCTTTGCTTCCACCGGTTTTCTCATCAACCACAGCTGATTTCACCATATTGGGTTTGGCAAGGCTGATCAGATGCTCGCATTCCTCTTTGGTCTACAGAAACAAAGAATCGAAACGAGTGAGGAACAGATACATTCTTGGAGATCGACAGATTCTGCAATTTCTATCAACAGATTATCATTTCGGACAGTGACCCATCATCACATTTCTTATCTCTCATCTGGTAAATGAGGAAAGATTGCAACTTTTGGTGTTATGGAATCTGAACTGATGAATCGGCAAGATCTAAACCCGAAGCATAGGGAAGAACAAAGTCAACGTCTTCTGTTTCTTTTCTGTGATCGATCAAAATCCAGCATAGATAAGATCCAGTGCAAAAGAATTACCAGATTTCATAGCTTGTACGACAAGAAAAACTCGAACTGTGTGAACATGGATGGATCAGTTCAAGTTCTAAACAAGCGTAATCAGCCCAGAAACACACAACTCACCAAGAAATTGTGGTAAACGACAGCTCTGGGCTCCCACGAAATCACTTCGACCCAACGCTCGCCATTTCCATCGTCTCCGTAGCTCTTCCTGCTCAAAAATTCAAAACCCGTGTCGGAATCAGACAACAATGTACACTTCCGACGACCCCCGACCAAACCAAAGAATGCGACAAGAAAGACCCACCTGCCCTCGCTCCTCCGTACAATGGAGGTCAAGTCGTTCGTCTTCGGAGAACTCCTGCTGGAGTTGGGAAGTGAGAGGATTCCGAGACCGAGAAGAATCAGAATCACGAAAGTGAGCAGGATGAGCACAGTGAATGCCTGAGTCGATGGCGACGAAGATTTCCGCGGCTGATTGCGGTAATGCTTCGATTTCGCCATGGATGTTGGAGCGAGCTCTGAAGAACCCTAGAGATGGAGAAGGAGAGATCTGAAGAAATGGAAGAGAAAATTTGATCCAAGCTGACAGTGAGATGCATTTGATCGGAGCTTTATATATATATATATATATATATATTGTTTAAATTCATCGTCTTCGTCTTCGCGTGTTTGTTAGATACAGACACAATGGTGGCTTGACTTTCTAACTCCCACGCCGTATACACTATTTCTATCTTCTTAGTTTCCTCCCAAGTATTTATTATTTCTTATGTTTTGACCCCGTCATAATGAAATAGCTTTTAAAACTCCAAGAAATCATTAAATAAGTCGAGTAAAACATGCTAAATGCAGCCAAAATGTTGGATAAAAAGCATCAATCGACTAATCCAAATTATAATATTGTTTTAGAAAAAATAACGGATCTGAAAATTTCGAATTATAATAATTCAAGTTTGACTAAATGGAAATAGTTTATTCGTATAAATAAATTCGAGTTTGCCATGGTGGTGGGCATCATGATCTTGATATTAAATTGCAGAGGAAGTAGAAATATCATGATAGACATTATCAATGCATGATCTAGTCACTTCACATTATTATATTTATGTAGATACATACACATATGTATATGCGTTCATTTGGGGTTTGGTCAACTTGATGAAAGAGACCAAGCCAACATTTCATCTCCATCTTAAGTGGTTAACCACTTGCATTCGTATTACGTATGTGTATAAATACTTTTGGTCATATATATACGGAACAAATATACATATGTGAATGAATACATTGTACATATAGATATATACGCACGCATGCATGTATTTACAATTTATTACATATATTGAAAAAAGAAACAGTTGATGAAGGTTTTAAAAGACATTGAGGGAAGTAGGGTACAGAGGGACATTAGTCTTGAAAGAGAAACAGTTTGGCACATAAGAGAATCTTCGTCTTCTTCTCTTGGAATCTGCAGGTCCAAGTCCAAGTGCAGGCTGGTTCAAGTATGCATACTTGCTCTTGGTCCACCTGATACAGACCCGATAATCCCGAAATTAGTCGAAAACCGAGTTTTCCAGGGCACAAGTGAATGGGATTTAACTGATCCCAACATGAAGTTCATCGCCTCCGAGTTCATCAGCCTCTGTCCCGAGGACTGGCTCATGAACTAAAACAGAGTTTTGGCATGTGTTTAAAGATTCTGATAATCATGGGCATAAATGATGTTTGTTCATAAGATGTTCAAGAAAATCCTGGACCAGGCAGGATCCTCCTTTTGCAGGCCAATGAATGATACACACACACACACATATCATGTAACCTTAGATGAATGAGATTGAACTGACCAGTCTTTTATCCCAACATGAAGTTCATCGTCTCTGATTTCCAGTTCATTCAAGTCTAAGCTTTCTTCGAAGCATTTGTACTCTTCTTCCTACAAAAGATAACAGTTAGAAAAACGCCTCTATATCTCGATTTGATCTTTAAGGAGATCTACAAGAAACACCGAAGTATCTGTCACCGCATGAAACTGAAAAAAGAGTATCCTTTTTCACAAGGTTGTCCAGATTGCATCATTTACCAACAATCAAGAAAACAACAAATTAACCGCACAAGAATCGGGAATCAAAAGTCATACAGAGAGTTTGCGGGCTCTGACACGAGCTGCTGCCTTGATAGCGGCGAAGAGATGATCCTCTTCTGTGATCTGCTTCTGCCTCCAGAACTTCTTGATCTGTTTATTGGTTATGCTCTCACCACCTATCTTTCTAACCCCAGATCCTGCCAGTGGAAGCTGTGGCAGATAACTTCTCAGACACAAACTCTCAGTCTCCTCCTTAATCTGCTTCATCTTGCCAAGAACGTGTCCTGTCCCCGACCTCTACAAATTCACCTGCCAAATACACAAAACCAGATACTCCACAAGCAGCAAGAGGGTATGATCCTTTGAAACAAAGGATTCACAGAGGAAAACCCAGAAGCTACTAATCCAAAAACCTACCTTTCAACAAGAGATACCAAGAGATCGACAACGTCTACCCTTCAGGTTTTGTGGTGGATAATCTTGAAAGGTAAGAGAGATACATATACAAGAAAACAGACCGGTGGTTGTAACTTGCAATCTTGGGCAACATCAAGGCATAAACAATTAGTGACATTGCTTTCGGTCACAGCCGTTTAAGTATATGACATCATCGATGTCACTGTCAACACCACCCACGAGCCATTTTCTATGATCTGAATTCTGTCCAATCAAATAACTACAGAGCTTTTGTTCTGTTCCTATGTATATCAATCTAGTTGGACATTGGCTAACTAAGTGATACACTAGGAAATCCAGTAAAATTGGTGATTTGTTTGAAAAGGATATAAATCAATTATCTGGGTCGTTCCTAAAATCACGATTCTCCAATCGAACCATCGGAAAAAATCCCTGAATAGAGACAGATACAACAACGACCTCATCCGAAACACAGCACTTGTGAACCAAACAACACAACGACGATGCCGTCGGAAAACGGCGGACCGACGACATAGATACGAGCGACGATTCGGCCACAGTTGTTGAGCTTGATCTTTGCCCGTTCCCGATGGATTCCCCAGTAATTTCGCGTCGGCTATCGTCCCCTTTGTGTTCCCGGCTTCGAAGTAGAAATCGAATGGGTACAGACGGTTCGGGTACAGATTCAGATTCGACCCTCATTCCTTGCAACTTCAGATCACGAACTCCATTGATCCTTTTTGTTCTTCCTCTTATTCTCCCTGTACCGAATTTCACCCGCTCTTCGGTCGGCCTGTTGGAGAATATAGGCGCCGCCAATGTTTGAGCCCTTAAGGCCCATTAATCTATAGGATATATTAATCGACAGATAGCCCACAACTTACGGGCCTTTAAGGCTATTGTTTGGGCTCTTTTGATGTTGTTTTATCTTAACGTGGAAGGGAGTAGTGCAGAGTGCACGAGAACGTACGTGAGTCTTGCCGCATGCAATTAAAACTCGCTATATCTGTAAATGTAATAAACCCGTTTCTGCGTATTGGGCGACCTCTGCTTTGCTCACAGTAAAATCCCTAATCCTCTCCGATTCTGTCGCGTTTCGCGCCTTTCTGCTTCTCTCGTAATGGTAAGGGTTCGTCTATCGTTTTCGCTCTTCTTCTTCGTCGACATTGTTTGGATGTACAAGTAATCTCTGGATTTGTTTTGATCGAATTTTCATGTTGTTGTCGGCATTGAGCTGTCTGTACATGATCACCTTCGTTGTCCTCGTTCCTTGGGTATCGATCTCGTTCGATATGACTTTCTTTATGCGTCGATCTGTGTCGAAAGTTCTTCTGGGTCACAGAGAGGGACCTGGCACTTCTCCAAGGAGGGAAATGTGATTTGAACCTGTATATTCTCCATGTTTTGCAATCTGACCTGTTTTATCATCTAATCTTTAGTTTTGCAATTAACTAGCTGCATTTCCATATAGGCCTGGTATCCTCGTGGTGGAGCACCTTACTCGTGTGTCTCGTGGTTTTACCTTTGTTACAATGGAAACCCTTGAAGACGCAGACCGATGCATTAAGTAGCTCGACCAGTACAGTTGAAAGGGTGATCGCACTGCAGACCTTTGTGACAATATCTCCATAGTTCGATATCATTCTTGTTGACTTGGTAGTTTTCTGACTGTATTCGGAATGTTTTGTGTCGGCTAGTTTGGGCAGCAATCAAAGATGATGAGTTCATTCTTGCCAGCATAAGTGAAACACGGCTTGATCAATGGCCAACTTAAACAGGATTTCCAAATGATCTGGTGCAACTATATTGCCCAACATCTATACAACCTCGGCATCCATATTCAACTCTCAACTAAGGAACGGGCATTATCAACAACTTGTAGTCAGGGCTTTTATGGTATTGCAGGCTTCATTCATCTGATGCTCTCTGATTTGTGCATTTTTGTTTCCTTTCCTGTTTACTGACAAGTGTTCTTTTCTCATACATTAAAGTTTTTTTTCCTTAAATGTTTGTCAAGTTCTGGTCTTGGCAGCCTGAAATTGCCTCCATCGTCATTGGTTCTCTCGTCTTCCAGAGGGTCGGATACTACCATGGACGAGAGGATTATGGGCACCACAGCAGGTCACCAAGACGCCCGTCATACAGAGGAGGATGTGACTATTCGGCTCGTGAGGAAAGAAGATCGAGGAGAGATCAGTCTTACTCTCCCTACAACAGGAGGTACTCCCGCGGTTCAAGGTGATCCCAATCTCCTTGGCAGCTGTAATCATAATAATGGCAGATGATAAGGATTTGCAACTTCTATCTCTTGGAAGGAGGTTTCTGTATTAGTTATATCCTTGAACAGGCAAGCAGTGTCTCTGAATTTGATCCTTTCGCTCAGTAGAGGATGAAATTTTGATGGGTGGTTTTCCGGGGGTTATTATAGAAATGCCTTTAAATGACACCAGCGACTTCAAGTAGTACCCTTGAGATTTTAGGGTTTTCAAAAAAAATAGAAAAACGCTGAAAAGACATTAACACCCTTAATGAATAGGACACGTGTCAAGATCAGAACGAACAAAGCGTAAATCTGAGAAGAAAATTTTTGAAAAAATACGTGGCAGTTTTAAAATTAAAAAACAAACATAAAAATAAAATATTGAACGGAAGAAGAACTTCCTGTCTCTTCATTTTCACGATTTCTCTGTAACGGACAGTGGGCGATTTCTCTCTTCCTTGGCGATTTCTGTTGCGATTTCTTCTTGCAATATCGTTCTCACTTCAGATGGCTTCGTCTTCTTCATCGTCTTCGGCTCCTAGTTACGAAGATATTCAGGTAAGTTTCGTATTTGAACTCACCGAGAAAGTGAGATATTTTTCTTAAAATTTTATGTCTGCGTGTTTGGATAAACAATAAAGGAAAATAAAACCGAGTAAAATGGGTCATGTTAGTGTAGTTATATGGATTAGAAAAGTTAGGGTTTCGGTTAGAAATTAGGAAACAATGTTTTTCATAATGTCGAGTCATATGGAACTTGAATCACGGTAATAGTGTCCAAATGGGTTATATTCGGCCATATTAGTGGAGTTATATAAGAAAAATTAGGGTTTCGATTAGAAAGTGAGAAATAATGTTATTCACAAAGTCGAATTTTATGGGAGTTGGGTCACGGTGTGAAAAAATGGTCGTACTAGTCACAACAGTCACATTAGAAGGGTATAACGAGTTAGACTAATCTGAGCAAACTTGTAAAACTGGTCACAACCAGTCACACTAGTCAAACTGGACAGGAATGTGTATTGGTCATACTAGTCAAATTCGTCGCACTTGAATGGTGTGACGAATATGACAAGTTTGACGAGTCTGATAAAACTGGTGTGGGAGTTGGGTCACGGTGTGAAAAACAGTCACATCAGAAGGGTAAAACGAGTTAGACTAATCTGAGCAAACTGGTATAACGATGTAGATTGTAATCACCAGAAACTTTGTGTGATAACATTATTTGAAAACCCTAGTTAAACTCGTCGCACTTGGTCCAAAAACCCAAAACTTTTTAATTAAGTTAATTCATCGAGGGTTTCGGTTAGAAAGTGAGAAATAATGTTATTCACAAAGTCAAATCGTATGGGAGTTGAGTCACGGAGTAAAAAATGGTCGTACTAGTCACAACGGTCTCATTTGAAGGGTATAACGAGTTAGACTATTGTGAGCAAACTTGTAAAACTGGTCACAACCCGTCACACTAGTCAAACTGAACAGGAATGTGTATTGGTCATACTAGTCAAATTCGTCGCACTTGAATGGTGTGACGAGTATGACAAGTTTGACGAGTCTGATAAAACTGGTCACTAGTGAAACAAAACTGATAATAAATGTTTATTTTCTTTTTGCAGGTTTCTTTTGTATACGATTTTAACGACATTCATCATGCTCCCAAGATCACAACAAAGTGTTATCCGTTTCAAACCATTCGCTCTCTTAAAAAGGCTCTAACAGATGAAGAATGGGCATATTTCAACAAAGAATCACAGTTTCGACACATTTTCCACCTTCAATGTGAAGACACGTTAAAGATGGTTCCGGTGTCTGTCCTTTTACATCGCGCATTAAAGCTTGAAGGAAACGTGAAAGAGTTGTGGTTTGTTCTTAACGGTGTACCCGTTAGATACTCGATCACCGAACATGCCATCATCTCTGGTCTAAACTGCGAAAAGTATCCCAAAGATTGGGCTGAACGCAGAGGACACGTGTTTCGGATGAAAATATTTGGACCTTCTAAGGTGACTATATCAGGAGCATTGGAGAAGTTGCATAACACTTCAACCACGGATGTGGAGGACAGAAAACGGTTAGCAATATTGATTTTGCTAGGCGGGGTAGTAGACCATGGTATAAAGGGCAATGATGTGATTCCCAATGCCTTAGTTGATATGGTTGAAAATCTGGAATTCTGTGAAGATAATAACCCTACTGAACAAGTGTCTTAACTTGGAACTCATCCTAACTCCCTACTTTCGAAACCCTACCTTATTTGAGACAATGTCCTAAACCCCAAACACAACACTAAGGTTTTAGTAGAGATTGTGTCACACATTGGTTAGGGTAGATGATATATTTTTTTCAGAGGAACTTCGAATAACAGAAACACGTTAAATATGTTATAATAACCCATTTACACCACATCGAACCGCCAAAACTTGATTTAGAGCAACTTTTTTTCTAAAAATCCGTCTCACCCGTCAAACCGTCACACTCGTCAAACCATCTCACCCGTCAAACCGTCAGAATCGTCAAACCGTCTCACCTTACTTAATTTCGCAAATTTTTCAGTTGTAAACCTTAAACATATAGATAATAACCCTACTGAACAAGTGTCTTAACTTGGAACTCATCCTAACTCCCTACTTTCGAAACCCTACCTTATTTGAGACAATGTCCTAAACCCCAAACACAACACTAAGGTTTTAGTAGAGATTGTGTCACACATTGGTTAGGGTAGATGATATATTTTTTTCAGAGGAACTTCGAATAACAGAAACACGTTAAATATGTTATAATAACCCATTTACACCACATCGAACCGCCAAAACTTGATTTAGAGCAACTTTTTTTCTAAAAATCCGTCTCACCCGTCAAACCGTCACACTCGTCAAACCATCTCACCCGTCAAACCGTCAGAATCGTCAAACCGTCTCACCTTACTTAATTTCGCAAATTTTTCAGTTGTAAACCTTAAACATATAGATAATAACCCTACTGAACAAGTTCATGACAAATTATATAAAAAAAATACAAATTACACCGAAGTCTTTATTACATAATACAAATATAAGTTCATAACTCATACGTCTGTGACATCGTCAAACCGTCACACTCGTCAAACCATCTCACCCGTCAAACCGTCAGAATCGTCAAACCGTCTCACCTTACTTAATTTCGCAAATTTTTCAGTTGTAAACCTTAAACATATAGATAATAACCCTACTGAACAAGTGTCTTAACTTGGAACTCATCCTAACTCCCTACTTTCGAAACCCTACCTTATTTGAGACAATGTCCTAAACCCCAAACACAACACTAAGGTTTTAGTAGAGATTGTGTCACACATTGGTTAGGGTAGATGATATATTTTTTTCAGAGGAACTTCGAATAACAGAAACACGTTAAATATGTTATAATAACCCATTTACACCACATCGAACCGCCAAAACTTGATTTAGAGCAACTTTTTTTCTAAAAATCCGTCTGTCCGGCTATTCATAGTGTGTTTGATTGTTTTTTTTATTTTTACAGCATATCAACGAAGCAATGTATGAAATCCGTCAACGTGTGCAAAATCTGGAACCTGTCCACAAGAAGTTCTTTCTTTGTGACGTGCAGTGTTGTGAATACTTCAAGTATTGGGAAATAGGGCAGAAAGAACTCGACGGTATTGGATAATAACCCTACTGAACAAGTGTCTTAACTTGGAACTCATCCTAACTCCCTACTTTCGAAACCCTACCTTTGTCACCCAATGGACAGACACGCCAGGATTTGTCAATGACGGAATATTCAGCACACTAATGAAACCTTTGTAATGCTCCAATTTTCGGGATCCACCGCCAAGTGGTAAATCTCCACTGATATATTGTCCAATACCGTCGAGTTCTTTCTGCCCTATTTCCCAATACTTGAAGTATTCACAACACTGCACGTCACAAAGAAAGAACTTCTTGTGGACAGGTTCCAGATTTTGCACACGTTGACGGATTTCATACATTGCTTCGTTGATATGCTGTAAAAATAAAAAAAACAATCAAACACACTATGAATAGCCGGACTAATCAAACTAGTATAAACTGTCATAATACTTACATCGTCCGTGAGGGTAGATGATATATTTTTTTCAGAGGAACTTCGAATAACAGAAACACGTTAAATATGTTATAATAACCCATTTACACCACATCGAACCGCCAAAACTTGATTTAGAGCAACTTTTTTTCTAAAAATCCGTCTCACCCGTCAAACCGTCACACTCGTCAAACCATCTCACCCGTCAAACCGTCAGAATCGTCAAACCGTCTCACCTTACTTAATTTCGCAAATTTTTCAGTTGTAAACCTTAAACATATAGATAATAACCCTACTGAACAAGTGTCTTAACTTGGAACTCATCCTAACTCCCTACTTTCGAAACCCTACCTTATTTGAGACAATGTCCTAAACCCCAAACACAACACTAAGGTTTTAGTAGAGATTGTGTCACACATTGGTTAGGGTAGATGATATATTTTTTTCAGAGGAACTTCGAATAACAGAAACACGTTAAATATGTTATAATAACCCATTTACACCACATCGAACCGCCAAAACTTGATTTAGAGCAACTTTTTTTCTAAAAATCCGTCTCACCCGTCAAACCGTCACACTCGTCAAACCATCTCACCCGTCAAAACCGTCAGAATCGTCAAACCGTCTCACCTTACTTAATTTCGCAAATTTTTCAGTTGTAAACCTTAAACATATAGATAATAACCCTACTGAACAAGTGTCTTAACTTGGAACTCATCCTAACTCCCTACTTTCGAAACCCTACCTTATTTGAGACAATGTCCTAAACCCCAAACACAACACTAAGGTTTTAGTAGAGATTGTGTCACACATTGGTTAGGGTAGATGATATATTTTTTTCAGAGGAACTTCGAATAACAGAAACACGTTAAATATGTTATAATAACCCATTTACACCACATCGAACCGCCAAAACTTGATTTAGAGCAACTTTTTTTCTAAAAATCCGTCTCACCCGTCAAACCGTCACACCCGTCAAACCATCTCACCCGTCAAAACCGTCAGAATCGTCAAACCGTCTCACCTTACTTAATTTCGCAAATTTTTCAGTTGTAAACCTTAAACATATAGATAATAACCCTACTGAACAAGTTCATGACAAATTATATAAAAAAAATACAAATTACACCGAAGTCTTTATTACATAATACAAATATAAGTTCATAACTCATACGTCTGTGACATCGTTGACGTACTGGCCGAACCTGATTTTCTTTTTCGAGTCTCACCAGGTCCAGGAAATCGGTTCTGTTTAGGCCTTCCACTTGCCCGTTTTTCTTCCACTATCGGCGGTAAAACCGTTATATCTGCAATGAACGATGGCAAGTTCCAATCACAACAATCAGGAACTGGATACACAGTCTCTTGGTAAGCCATGCGCCATGTTTCTCGCATGTAATATTCAGAACATAGATCGTATATCATATCGCCTTTTCCGATCATATGTGCTGCTGCAATTGCGTGACTACAAGGGTACCTATCCACGTCAAACATTTTGCAACCGCATGTTCTTTCTCCAAGATTAACAAAGTATCTTCTACAGTATTATGACAGTTTATACTAGTTTGATTAGTCCGGCTATTCATAGTGTGTTTGATTGTTTTTTTTATTTTTACAGCATATCAACGAAGCAATGTATGAAATCCGTCAACGTGTGCAAAATCTGGAACCTGTCCACAAGAAGTTCTTTCTTTGTGACGTGCAGTGTTGTGAATACTTCAAGTATTGGGAAATAGGGCAGAAAGAACTCAGGCTCTAACAGATGAAGAATGGGCATATTTCAACAAAGAATCACAGTTTCGACACATTTTCCACCTTCAATGTGAAGACACGTTAAAGATGGTTCCGGTGTCTGTCCTTTTACATCGCGCATTAAAGCTTGAAGGAAACGTGAAAGAGTTGTGGTTTGTTCTTAACGGTGTACCCGTTAGATACTCGATCACCGAACATGCCATCATCTCTGGTCTAAACTGCGAAAAGTATCCCAAAGATTGGGCTGAACGCAGAGGACACGTGTTTCGGATGAAAATATTTGGACCTTCTAAGGTGACTATATCAGGAGCATTGGAGAAGTTGCATAACACTTCAACCACGGATGTGGAGGACAGAAAACGGTTAGCAATATTGATTTTGCTAGGCGGGGTAGTAGACCATGGTATAAAGGGCAATGATGTGATTCCCAATGCCTTAGTTGATATGGTTGAAAATCTGGAATTCTGTGAAGAGTTTCCCTGGGGGAGATATACCTTCGACAAGATAGTCGATCAAATATTGAAGATGTATGCAAGCGATCCTGAACCGAAGAATAGATGGCACTGTCCTGGATTTGTAATACCCCTCATGGTGAGTATGTTTTTATATGTGTGTTTTTTTAATATGATTGAGCTTTCAATTATAGATGTTACTTGATGTAATTATTTGGTTTATATGTTGCAGTTGCTTCCTTTTGAATGTGTGGAAAGTTTAGGCGCAAACGGATGGTATATGGATGTGGAAGATGTTGATCCATCATGTCCTAGGATGTGCAAGAAACGCATCCAACCGGGTCTCTTTGTCACACATTCAAACGTGATGAAACGCATCGGTGTAACCTCACGGGTATGTAATGTTATCATATGAGTTAAATATGTTATAATGTTATCACTGATAACACGAGCTATTTTGTCAGGGAATTCGAAGTATTCTTCAAACAGAGGGGGAAGAAGTACATATTTTGTTTAATCTACATGAAGATGAAAGTAATCATCCACTGGTAAAAAGTTACCTGATACACGCCTTTATAGTCCTCCTGTTACGCAGGACTTTTGACGTATTCAAAGTGCGCAACTCCTCATGTTGGATTCCGTAGATATCTCAGGTCTTAGAATCCAATCATGGAACCGTCATATGACCAACACCACTAACGGAATCCGGAATGTATTGCACAACAAATTCTTGTCCACATTGTCTTCTCAAATTTACTGTTTCAATCTCCACGTGAAGCATGCTTCTTCCTCCGTTTATTTTGTCCATGAGATAAATAAACACTTGCTTGTCATTCGATATGTATATCGGCTCACTGTTTCCTTTTATAATCGGTAGATAACTTAACTGGATATTTGCTTTATCTTTGTCCACCTTCATATCAGAATATAACTCATCAACAAGATGTTTGTATGTCAAATCTGTCGGAGGAAAAAGGAATATCACGCCCTTGGCATCTTTAACTTTTCCTTCCCATTCATAATCCCCACTCGCATTTATTGTCCACTTGCCACTAGACTTATAATAAATAATCGTCATTTTTTCATCACATGCATCCATTATGCCTGTACAAAATAAACACAAACGGAGGCGCTGTTAGCTGGAAGAGTTCCAAGCAAGCGACCGTTGCAGATTCTACTACAGAAGCTGAGTATATTGCAGCGTCGGACGCATCAAAGAAGCAGTTTGGATCAGGAAGTTTGTTGGCGACTTGGGTGTCATTCCTAGTGCGGATAGCCCCATTGCTCTGTATTGTGACAACAATGGAGCGATCGCACAAGCGAAAGAACCCAGATCCCATCAATGATCCAAAAATATACTCAAAACGGAAAAGTAGATCTCTATTTATTTATTTTTATATATTATAATTATATAAATAATTAAAGGGTATTATTGAGAATCTACATTTATAAGGGTACGAGTGATGTTGGCGTTTTTTTTTTTTCTGAGGAAGGGTATCACTTGAAGTGAGATGTATCATTTAAGGGCATTTCTGCAATTGCCCCGGTTTTCCGGGCATGGTGGAATCAAATGAAGTTGTGTTTATAATTGGTGGCTGTCATTACATTTAACAAGCAAGGGTACATACCGTTATATAAAGTAATAGTTAAAATCTTTTATGTTTCCGTATCATGATGATTGAGTTTCTCCTCCCTCCCTTCATGCCCGCAGGCGTCGGTGACCGGATATGACAGAATCGTACGGGGGAGACTCGTAATGGAGAAGCATCAATCAGCTTCTGTCTGTCTGAATGGTTATGTATATGTGTGTATATGTATATATATCATACACAAAAAAGATGAACAGAGAGAGGAGGAAGAAGAAGAAGAAGGGACAAGATCAATACTAGCTAGCTAGTGGTGGGGGTGGTATCTGTGCCAACAGAGCAACATGAAGATACATTTCCTGGCGATGTAAAACCTAGAACGCCTCTCCTGCACCATTGCCAAACACCCTCCTCCTCTTCTCTCCATAGATGATGATGATGACCCTTTTTCCCCCATCCCCTTCTTCGATGAACACTGCCCCATTCTTTACATATAACCAGCCCAACTCACACTTCCGTCTCTGAATCAGATCGTGTTTCTCCTCCTCCTTCCTCTCTCTCTCTCTCTCTCTCTCTCTCTCTCTCTTTTTTGTTTTTTATTTTGAGGCGGTGGTGATGGGAATCAAAGAAGAGGAATGTGAAGAGGAGGCTATAAATAGAGGAGCATTAACATTATTCGAATTCCGAAGACGTTCACGTCAACCTCTTGCTTGTTATCCAACCCTCTCTTATTTCCCCTCTCCTCCTTCCACATTCTGTATATATGACGCTTCATTTATGTGACACGTATTCTTCGTTCATTTGCAACCTTATTATTTGATATTACATCCCGAAACCACTGTTATGTTCTATGTTATTGTTCCATATTATATATATACATATACACGCGCACACATGAATTTATTATATTTATTTATTTATTTCGTAAAACATAATTGCTTCACCATATTTTGCATAACTCCAAAACCTAAATTCCAGGCGAGTTTTGTAATCGACGAGAAAGCGCGTCTTGCGTCCGCTTTTTTTTTTTTCCAAGTTATTTTGCGTCAAGACTTGGTTGTCTTGAGCAAACCGTTGTCTGCTCAGGCGAATGCCGTCACGATCTGGCGGCACCCGTTCTCTGTGTGCCACGTGGCTCGTTCTGAGTGGCTACATGTGCTCAGGTGACTGTTCCGTTTTTTCTCCAACGGTACGGTTAGCCCCCTAACTTAATTATTGGCGTGATTAAATAAATAAACAAGCGAATTAGTTACGTAATTGTGTAAACGAAGGATATATGATTGTATGGGAAGAGAGAGAGAACCATCAATCATTCATTGGTGGATGGTATTTGCCACGTCAGCTTCTACCTACCACAGCTTGCAATATTCCTTCTCCTTCACATACACACACATGTATATATATGTTTGAAAAATAAATTAATTCCCGGACAAATTTTGGATAATCTTATAGGATTATGCATATAACCTAAGGTATCATAATGATTGGGTGTTTTTTATTTTTATTTTTATTTTTTTTGTGTGCGAGTGTGTGTTGTTCCTATACAAAAAAAAACGATATCGAACAAAACATTTTCTATTTTTTATATTTATTTCTAATATGTTTAGTAATTTGATTAAGAATTTTTTTTTGTTTGCAATTATCAATGAAATTTATAATTTATTTTTTGGGCCAAACTTCACATTAAGTTGGTTTAGGTGACACTTAAATTAGCATTATGGACCGATTAGGCCCAAAGTACCGATCTCTCGCTCTTTAATCAAAATTAGACCCATAAACTTTTAATAGGCCCAATATGATCCAAAATGGGATATGCGAAGAAAAATTCAACCTTTTTTTCAATTAACAACAGTTCGTAATTAAGTTTTATCCATTTTAATTTTTAACATTTTTTTTAACACTGAAACGTTAGCTTATTAATATACTTGTACTACTTTTTAATTTAAAGTATTATCACGCAAATTAACATAATCATATATACGTACACACGTGCACATATATGTATGTGTCAGGATATTCTCTGAATATTTCATAAATTTCAATTTTCTAATTAGTAATGATTATTGTTGGTCAAACTCCGGTCCAAATCTAACAACGGTTAGATATCCTTTTTCAACGGTGTCGGTAACGTTGACCTCCTTCTCAATCTCTCTCTTTAATCTCCACTTTGCCAACTACTAATGCTTCTATTTTAATCACATGCGAAAACTAATTAATTAGACCCAGTAAATAGTGGACGAGTGGTGAAAAAGTGTTGCTCTCAGGACCCTGATCACTAGTTCGAATCCAGTTGATGAGAAAAGAGGGGGATAATTTCTCGGCTGAAAAGATGTTGCTCTATGGACCTCTGTCTCCGAACCCCTAAAGGTTGTTCTCGGACCTAAGAGATATACATTAAACTGAAGATCTAAGTGAACTTTCTGATTATAAAAAAAATAATTAATTAGACTCTATATATATACATATATATGTTTATATCATCGTTAATACGAATATTCATCTTATTGTCCATTTAATTACTTACACGTTATTGAAATTAAATGGTTGGATTATTTGGAGTGTTGTTTTTTGTATTGAAAACATTGTTTGATTTGATTTTGAAAAAAGGCAGACAAAATCCAATATATTAATATTTTAATTTTCAAAAGATAGATTAAAAGAGGAACCAATGTATGACATTTTTTTTTATTTCAAATTTTTGAGACATGCTTGTATAGAGATTTTGTAGAGATTAGGTATAATATATGATACATGAAGATGTGAAAATAAAATTGATGTTTGATTAGAACATTCACTAACACTTGAAATAAACAAACAAAAAAAACACCGGATGGATCATCGTCATCATCCAATGTTTTTTCTTATTTGCTATAATTATCCATGACAATAGCAATGACGACCACCATCAATGATGATTCATTTTTTTTATAACAAACTTCTTTTTTTTAAAAAGGAAAGAATCAATGGACTGACTCGCCCATGGATCTGTCCCAAAAGCTGAGCGAATTGGATAAAAGCATAACCTATTATATTCAATTAAAATATTTATATATATATATAGACCGTCTAACAATTTGTCCATTAAATTACAAGACCCACATGCATATATGTTTATATAGTTTGGCGATCATATATCAGCATCACTAATATCCACTTGGAAAATAAAAACGAAATAGATAAATATTGATAAGTGGGAGTCTCGTGACCCACACTTGCTGACGTGGACAATCCCTACGTGTTACACACCGAAACGTTTATGTCCTCTCTCTCTCTCCTTTTTTGGGTGAACGAAGCACTCCAAATTTCTTCTTTGGCTCTCTCTCTACTCTCTCTCTCTCTCATCCGAAACCTGAATCTGGGATCATTCTCCTTTGCTTTCGAATCGAAGAGATTGTTCGGAGGTTTTTGTTTATCGCGCTTTTCGATTCGGTTTGTGGCCTTTGTTTGCTCCCATGGCGATCAAGGAGGAGACCGAGAGTTGCGGCAGCAGAGCCGTGGTGGCGCCGCAGCCGAAGGAAAACCCTAGGCAGCACAGGATGAAGCTCGAGGTGTACGGCGATGTTCTCCGTCGAATCCAGGAATGTAACTACGAAGAAGCCAATCTCCCTGACTTTGAGGATCAGCTTTGGCTCCATTTCAATCGGCTTCCTGCTCGGTGTTCTTTTCATCCCTAACCCTAGATATTGCGCTTTCTTCATCATCTAGTTGGTGTTTTTGTCCTGGCTAATTTGTTGATTTTGTCAATTGGGATTAGAAGGGAAAGGGTTTTTTTTGGCGTAGTATCTTCCGGAATCTTTGGAACTTATTATCTACTCAGTTCTGTATCTGTACTGCTGAGATTCTTCGACTTCATCAGCTTTCTTTTGCTTGATTTTTTTTGGAATACCAAGCTTTGTTCATGGACAGCGACTGATACCTCTCTCTTCTGGAAACCTTTTTTTTTGTTGTTCAAAAAATCAAGAATCAATCTGCCGTTATGTTTTTCGTTCTCTCTCTCTTTTCTCTTTTCATTTTCGCAACACGTGTCTTTACCCGTCATGAATGTTCAGTTGAATAAAGTTTTAGATTTGTCTGTTAGTATCATCTTTCGAACTTTCTCCCTATCTTTTTGTCGTTTGGGCGTTTTGCTGATGCATGATGCTTCAATGTTTAGATACGCTCTGGATGTTAATGTTGAGAGGGCAGAAGATGTCCTCACACATCAGAGATTGCTGAAATTGGCAGAAGATCCTGCGAACAGGCCTGTGTTTGAAGTTCGTTGTGTCCAGGTAATAATAAACTTCTGCCAATTCGGCTTGGCTCATTTTTTATTGTAATGTGTCTTGTAGTGGCTTCAAGGTTTGGTTCTTACTTGTGGTACAACTGGTGAGCTAATTTGATTTTCTCTCTTTTGTTCAGCTAATCACTGTGTGCATTCCTCTTTCCTTTGCAGGTTTCTCCCCCATTTAATGGAAATACTGGTTATTCTGACCCTTTGGACCCTGCGGTGAAGGAAGATGCACAAAGCTCCTACAATTCGAGTAGGCCAGGGTACACAGTTATCAAGTTGAGATCCTCCTAGTTACTTTTTTCTTCGAAATTACACCTTTTTAATCATGTTCTTATTTCCTATTGAAAGTGTTCATGCCCCTCCCACTTTTGGTCCTTCCCCAAATTTCGAGGCGATTACGCAAGGCAATGGACATCATGTTGAAGACGTAGATAGTGCTGTGAATTCGACATCGCAGAATTCTCGGTGAGATTTCTTCTGAAGTTGAGCTCATTTTAACTTCTGCCCTTGTAATTTATGCTCTTTTTTTTTTATCTGGTTTGCATCTACCTTAAGGAAGGCTGCTTTGTGGCATGGAGTTGTAGACTCATCTTTTTCAGGTTGACCTGATTTTATTATCCGACTATGTACCGCAATGTCATCACATTGTTGCCTATCTTGTAGACCTATGCACGAGATCACCTTTTCAGCAGTTGACAAACCGAAACTTCTAAGTCAGGTTTGTGATTATCATTTCTTCTTCTGTGCTTCTCTGTTATTGTTCTAAAGTTTATTTCTTGGTTGCTAAAGGAGTGACACAGAAACTTTGTGACAGTATTGTGTTCCATTAGAGACTTTAGCGAGTAAAAATGGGTGGTTAGTCCTTCTATGTTCGTCTCCAGTTATCCATCTGATTATCTGATTGAGAAGGTCTTTTGTTTCAGTTAACTTCTTTGCTTGGTGAGCTTGGCTTGAATATTCAAGAGGCTCATGCGTTTTCCACAGCGGATGGTTTCTCTCTGGATGTCTTTGTTGTTGATGGTTGGTCACATGAGGTATAGTTTTATTTTCTGCTTCAGAAGCATTATTTTCTTACTATTCCATAGCATCTAAGCGAAGGGTACATCGAGTATCAGCTGTAGATGATCTTTCTATTTTTGTTATCATTAAGCTGGTTGTGCACTTTGGAATTGTAGGAGACAGATGGTCTAAAAGTTGCATTGAGGAAGGAGACACGTAAGCTTAAGGTACCTTCTGTATCTACTTTTTCGTTGGCACTCTTATATTCATGAGCTAAGATCATGTGTTCTCCCTCTCTTCTAATTGAATTCTTAAGGTGCAATTAATGCTTCAGTGTTATTTTTTGACCGATATTAGTAGAAAATTATGATCTCATGCAATGAAAATACTCTACCTTTGAGTAAATTTTGTATACATTATCATACCCATATCTCTTTGCTATATTCCATCTGTATGTCATGGATCAATTTTTGGTGATTGTCTTCTCGCTATATCTTGTTGGCTCCCCTGCAGGATCAGTCTTGTCCAAAACAGAAATCAATTGCTTTCTTTGAGCCTGAAAAATCGAGCAATTCTTTACCTGCCTGTGTTGAAATACCCACGGACGGAACTGATGACTGGGAAATTGATATGAGACAACTGAAAATTGAAAGCAAAGTAGCGTCTGGGTCATTTGGGAACCTGTAAGTTTTCTTATTCCCGAATCTATATTTCTTAAAGCTGAAAGTTCTGGTAAGTAGTTATAAGCTTCATTCTTTTTGGTTATTCAGTTACAGAGGTACCTATTGCAGTCAGGAAGTAGCCATCAAAATCCTCAAACCTGAGCGTGTAAATGCAGAAATGCTGAGAGAGTTTGCTCAGGAAGTATATATAATGAGGTCTGGTGCAATTGATTTCAGCTGTCATGCGGACGCATATTTGTTCTGTAGTCTTCTTGCTTCTTGAGCTACTGTAGAATTGATTCTGAATTCCCCTGAAGTCCCATTTCGTAGCCCATGTTCTCCCTCAATCTTTTACTACCAGTGACAAAAATGTGAAATCTGATTTTCTTAATCATGGTTTCATGTCTTTGCATGTCACACTTTATTGCGAGTCTTGCGTTACTGACTATGTACGAGTAATCCATGTGCATACTTTTAGCCATTGATCATTCTCTTCACAATTTGCTGCTGACAGTTACTTGCTTGTAGGAAAATCCGGCATAAAAATGTTGTTCAATTAATTGGTGCTTGCACACGATCTCCAAACCTCTGCATTGTGACTGGTAAGCTTGATCTAGAAGTGGCGAATTAGAATTGATTCTACCTGGCTGGTTCCTTTATTCTGTTACATCTATTTCCGTATGTCCGGTGAGAAACGTGTCTCAGGAGGCAATTAAGTATAGGGCTTTGTTTGTAATCCATTCGTGCCACTTAGCCTCATTGTCTTGCGCTTACATATACACATGATTGATTGATTGATTTTTATCCTGTTGTGTCAGAGTTCATGGCTCGGGGAAGTATCTACGATTTTCTACACAAACAGAAAGGCGTTTTTAAGATTCAATCTTTGCTCAGAGTGGCCATTGATGTCTCAAAAGGAATGAACTATCTGCATCAAAACAATATTATTCATAGGGATCTTAAGACAGCCAATCTTCTGATGGATGAGCATGAAGTAAGAGCCTCATTGTCTGTTAATGCAAACTTCGGCTAGTATACCAGTGAAACTCTAGAAACGTTCCTTTGCATTTTCTCTATACGAAATTACTACATTCTACTGAAAGCACCAAAACTCTATAATCCTGAATATATATAGTTTTGAACAGGTTGTCAAGGTTGCCGATTTTGGGGTTGCTAGAGTGCAGACACAATCAGGGGTCATGACTGCCGAAACAGGGACTTACCGATGGATGGCTCCGGAGGTAGAAATTACTTCGTTTTAAAGACTGGTCTGGCTTGCACTGCCGTGAGCCATGAAATAATTTTTTTACCCATCCTTCTGCAGTTTATGAAATCATTACTTGGGTTATGATGTGTGTCAACTACATGTTTGCCCTTCAGAGTGGTATTTCTAGTACGATAGCTGTTCACGTGAGAGACAAAGTTAGAACTACTGAAGATGAGATCTAGCTGCATATTAAGCTATCGAAGCTCTCTTCTCTTGTTTGTTTTTTGTTTTACGGGTCTCGATACTGTTGAGCTCTTTCATCAGTTTCGTCCTCCTTTCTACTTCTAACAATATACTTTTATTTGGACTCAGGTCATTGAGCACAGACCCTACGATCACAGGGCGGATGTCTTCAGCTTTGGGATTGTGCTGTGGGAACTCCTGACAGGGGAAGTAAGTCTCTGAGTTGCATCTCTTGTCTCTTTTGTTCACGTTTGAAGTCAACTTTTGCAATTAACGGTCATATTTTTGCGCATTGTGAATGTGAAAGCTCCCTTACTCTTACTTGACTCCACTACAAGCGGCTGTTGGCGTTGTCCAGAAGGTACGTCTATGGATTTCTGTTTTGTCTTTTCTCCTCCATTGTTCCAAGACAGAGAGAGTTGTTAGTTATGGGTTGAAGTTTGCTTCCAGGGACTGAGACCCAAAGTTCCGAAGAACACCCACCCGAAACTGGCGGAACTTCTCGAGAAATGCTGGCAGCAGGACGCAACTCAAAGACCCGATTTCTCCGAGATCATAGAAATGCTTCAACAGATAGCCCGCGAGGTGATCGATTTGCTTTATTACCGCAATATATATATCACCCCGATCTTTCTGAGATATACGAATGTGGGTGTGAAAAAAACCAGGTTGGAGAGGAGGACCGACGCAAGGATAAACAACAGGGAGGAGGAATCTTTTCAGCTCTAAGGAAGAGCCATCACTGACACTGACACCTTTTAAGATGGGCCGATCCCGAAACTCGTGATCTGATCGGTTCGCGGATACATCTGCTCACTCTTTACTTTTTGTCTTTTATTCTGTACAGTTTGTTTTTTTTTTTAAATGGAGGAACCCCCGCTTCAACTGTAGATCATCATTCTCCATTTAGCTCTCGGTTCTCGTTCCTCATATGGCGTCTTTTTTGCATATTCATTTGGCTAATGAACAAAAGAAAAAAAAATAGATAAAATCCGATTTCCAGGTACTACTACTGATACACGTGTTGGGAAAGGGAAAGTGAATATATTTTTTTCCCTTGTTTGATTTCTTGGTGTGTTTGCTTCGAAATTGGCCACGGTTTTTACAAAGTGGTCAGTCGTACGGACGGATACGCAGCCATGTATTTATCTGAAATGGTGAATCAAGACACATCTGTTTAATCGTAATTTACCACAAATTAATAAATAAAGAATCGGATAAATCTTTTCGTTGTGTTTTGACAGCTATTTGTAAAAAAAAAAAAAGGATCAGAATAATTTTACCTTAAAAAAAATTATAATAACAAGATGGACACTTTATATCAACCGCAACCGCACATGCCGTGAAAGCGCTGATCGTTATCGCAAACGCGACAATTCCAAAGGGTACGGGTCCTTAAAATCACGATCGCGTCGTGATTTGCTACGAAACGGATGTTTTTAGAGTGATAATAAAACGTCATCGTTTCCGTGGTACTCTCTTTCGGTTCAGACATCGATTTGTATTGTCTGTGTCGTAGTGCTTAAGACATACTTTGGATAACTGGTAGACTTCCGTACACAACAGGAGTTTGGAAATTAGAAAAGAGTGAGAAACACGTACAGCTTTTTACTGCAACCTCGCGATCTTGGCCGGTGGTTTTCCGACACCAGAGACACCTCCGGTCGATGGGTTCAGCCGCAGCATCTTTCTCCGGTTTACAAACTCGGAGAACGACGGTACAGACGGAAGACTCAAACACGGCGAAAAGTTCTGCTCCGACTCACCGATCTCGAGCTCTTCATCCTCTCTGCTCTGTTCTGGTTCTTCCACGATCGACGATTCCGTTACGATGTGTTCTTCAGCTTCTCTACCTGTACAATTCTGCGGAGCCATCAGACTAAGTCGGCTCGTTAGCTCGTCTCGGCTCGTGGTTCCTAGCCATCTTACGGTGCTCGCCACCTGTGAGTAGTAGAAAGATTTCCCTGTTTTGCTGTACTTTGTGTAGCACTCGTTTTCGAAGAATTCCGACGAGTTTTGGACATCGATCCTGCAGTGTTTGAGAGTTTTTAGCATACTAGAATTTCGACAAGACAAAAGCTATGAGATCTAAGAAGCTCGGTTTTGTAAGACGCAATGCACAGAACTGTTCTAAACCGCAAAGTCGTTGTTGAGATTTCTTCAACGCATCCGACAGTCTCTGCCTGCTTGATTCCCGTAACGATTCAGATATGACATTCTTGTCAGATTTTTTTACCTGCCGAATTGCCAAATAAACCTCAGAACAAGCTGGAAGAACAGAATCACTTTGGACAAAATCTATGGCGAAACCTGTTTACTGGCGATGTTCTTCTGATAGTATTTTTCCTCTGCACGTTCCAATAAGACCAGTTTTTCATCCATTCCCATTTTTTTCGATAATCTAGATCCCGCTACGTTCTTGGCCACTCCAATGCCATCTGGAAATAGTGCGGATGAAACAACAGACAACATAATCGAAACAATACCCGAGAAATCGAGAAATCTAAGCAATATATACCGAGAGGGTTTACCGTCTGAATCTGATATATCTTCATCAGAAGAACCACTTGCCTCTTCTTCGTCACAATTCCAGAATTCAGAGCAATGCCCTTCATCGGCCATATTGTTCGAGCTGTAAAAGAAAGCATATCAAAAGCTCAGTGGAAAAGATAATCGCTAACCTTTGATAAGGTACAGCTCAGGAGGATGAGTTCGGCGACCTGGTGATAAAAATCCGAGACCCGCTGTGTCTATGGAAGGCATTGCTCATGAGCTCCTCCAAACAACGAGCCACTTGATTCGGGTTCTTACAGGCATCACATGACTTTTCGCATTTTGACGCGGGAAACTGTTTGGACAAACCGAAAATCAACAGCTCAATCAATATATAGGCTGGAAAATTAACAAGTTTTCTTCTTCATGACCCTCAAACCCGAAAAAAAAAAGTTACCTCCTCGCCAAAGCTCTCGAGAATCTTTCTTCTTCGACATTCAGGTCCTTCACAGTATGCCACCATCTATATATACATGCGACATCGGTGAAGATAAATGTCACCTTGGAGAAAAGCTGAAGTTTGAACGAAGCAAGGAGAAGATTCATCATCACCTGCGCAAAATCAGACATTGGTTTCTTCGAGGACGGCGTTTTCTTCTTGTCCGAATTTTGCAGTATAAACCCCTGTCGAAGAATTTGAATATAAAGTCATGTAGAATGAAACAGTTAAACCAAGACTTGTGAGAAAGAAATATTTGACTTACCATTCTCTTCCTATCGTCTACTCCATAGTACAACACACTTTTAGATGGCAATTGATCTCGACCTGCTCTACCCGACTCTTGATAGAATGCTTCCATGGATTTCGGGATATTAAAATGGCAAACCATTCTGACATCTTTCCTATCTATCCCCTAGAATGGTAATAGTGGCCAACAGTACGGTACCACATTAGATAAGATAGAACCAAAACCCAAATACATGCAGCATGAGCAAGAATCTTAATTTGCATACCATTCTGCAGAAAAGCCACTAGCTTGTTAACATTTGCACCAGGAGCTCCCAATCATTATTAAGACATGAAACGAAAAGAACAACAATAATCCACGAAAGTCATAAACCATAGTTCAGTATAACGATTCCTTTAAACAAGGAAGTCGCCATAGAAAATTCCCCTTCAGAACAAAAAAAAATATATTCTCGTGGGTAGAAAGATTAGCATAGGAATAAGCAGCAAAGAGGGACATACCCGAAAGCCACTGTGGCAACAACGACTTGCTTCTTAGAGGAAAGCCAATCATCCAAAACGGTGCTCCTGAGTTTGCTATTGAGCCCGGCATGATAAGCTGTGAACATAGATATAGATACACATGTTCTAATGTTTGTGTAGAAATAAAAATCACTGAAAAGGTAAAAAAAATGGACATTAGTTTACCAGCACAGGAAATCCCACTGTTGGAAAGATGAGCAGACAAGTCATCACAGGTTGTACGTTCAAGACAATAGATAATTGCACAAATATTTCCACATGATTTCAGCAAGTTGCAAAGGTCAGTATAAGCATCATCGATTAGATCTTTGTACCGAACTGCAACAACAGGCAACAATTTAACCAGTGGCAAATCAGATCAAGTGAATTCGGGTTGTGATAGTAAACTCTCAAAGAAAACCATGAAACATTTTCAAAAGGAAAAAAAAACTATACTGAGAACACCTCATAAGCGTCTAGAAAGACAAAGGTTCATGCTTTGTTAAAATCCATGGCTCATAGGAAAAACCTTCATAAAATATATTTGGGCGATTGAAAGAAGACTTGAGAACCAAAGGATCTCGCAGACTCAACGAGTCAATAACGTCCTTCTGTACCCTGCAAAAGGTTGCTGGTCAGTAAAAAAACTGCGGGTATGCTTTGTGTGTATGTATTTGCGTATATATATATATATGTTAGAATGCATTGAAACAAAAGACTCACTTAGGTGCAGCAGTAGCAGTCAGAGCTAATATTGGGACATCGGCCAGACAAGCTCTCAAGGATGAAAGTTTACGGTAGCTAGGTCTGTTTATGACAAAATAAGTTAGTACAACAGTACAAAAACGACGGAAAAAATGCTCCCATTGTCACCAATTATGAACCTGAAGTCATGGCCCCATGTTGAGACGCAATGTGCCTGATATTTCATTAAACGATGAAGACAAATTAAATCGCTATTCAGATCAAATTCCTCTAAAAACTTTCTCGGTTACTCCAATACAGGAACTACAAGGCCTCACCTCGTCTACAGCAATGAGATTTAGTAACCCCCTGGCATGGATTTTTCTCAGCTTCGACATAAATCCTGAGGTGGCGATCAGTTCTGGAGTTACATAGAGCAATCTCACCGAGGGCTTTCCAGAATCGAGGTCTTCATGAATCTAAAGGAACAAAAAAAAATATAGTCGAAGAGAATCGAATGCAATGATCATCAAACAAGTCTATCAATGTAGTGCAGAGCACAAACAAGCAAGCATTTTTAAACAACAAAGTGCATATGTACATTCATTTCGGCATGAGGGTTTGTCAAATAATAGGCTAAGCTTAGCGATCAGGTGGTCATACATTCATGAACACACACACAAACACACACATGCATCAACATAAAACCACAGTTTTTTTATTAAAAAAACACTACCTTGTTTCTGGCATTAGTGGTTTGGGTTGAGGAGAGATACTCAGCAGCAATACCTTTCTCCTTCATTGCCATCACTTGGTTTTCCTTAATAAAGAAAAACAAAAGATGGTTTCCCGGAAAGGAAGAAGAAAGAAAGAAAAAAAAAACAGGAGAAGGGAGAAACAGAAGCAGTGATCTTACCATCAAAGCTGTGAAGGTGTAATCGCAAGTACAGAAGGGAGGAAATCGAGCACAAGTTAGAGCCATTTCAGCTTCTCCATACATGAATCAGAAAACCCAGACAGAAAAAAAAAAAGAATTTACCAATCAAAGGAGAGACGACGAGAACAATTCCAGGCTTAGCAAGTGCAGGAATCTGATAGCAAATAGATTTTCCTCCTCCCGTCGGCATCAAACAAAAGCAATCCCTTCCTATTTCAGCAACGAAAACAATCAAGGAAAAGTTTTTTATCATTCAATTGTTTTCTCTCGAGTAACTCGTCTACCCGACAGAACAGCTTGAATGGCCTCGAGCTGCTTCCCTCTGAAATTCGCATGACCGAAATGCCATCGCAAGAGCTTCACCAGGGCTTCTTTGCCACAGAGAACGCTCTTATCGGAACGGTGCACGTTCTGCACCGGCAATGGCGATTTCTTCATTTGCCCTATCACTCCCTAACCCATACAAAAAGAAAAAGGAGATCCATCGATGTCATCAACCATGGAAATTCGTGGAGAAATGAACATTCAGAAGATTTCAAATACCTCTGCGGAAAATTACGGATTCACCGAGTGAGATTCGAGGTGTTCGTGACTTTCCAGTGATTCTGATAAATTTTCCAGCTTTATGTCGAGATGAAGCCGCGAAAAAATGACGCTCGCTCTGTGTTGTATTGTGGTGCCTCGTGGAACGTCGTCGTTTTTATCAGTTGCGTTGAGACTCTTCAGCGA